GTTCTTTCCCCTCCGCCCCTACCCCAGACTTGCTGCCCTGTAAGCTGCTAACCTTCATGGCCAATGACCTCTTGGATATGTCTTCTCAGCCACTTTGTGAACCTGACAAATGCAAATGGTGTGAAGCCAAGCTTCTGCTCTCATGCCTAGCTGGCCGGTGCCCCTGCTTCAGTCGCTGTCCCATTCAACCCACTCAGCCCCACTCAACCCCCACCTCCAGCCTTCCTGCACCTGCCTCCTGCATCTCCTGCTTCCTCCCACTCCTACTATCATCACAGAAGTGGCCACCTTTTCTCCCTTGCTACCCCACGCCTCACTCCATTGCCAGGTTCACCTTCTGGAGATACCGTCTTCCCCAGATCAGAAACCACCAAGGGCCCTTTCTGCCCTCAGAATTAGTGGAGCAGAATTCTGCATGGCATTAGTGGGTCTCTCCTTCCCTGCATGTTTTTCCCTCTCAACCTCCACAAATTCTTCTCTCTGGGCAAACTGTATGGCCTCTGTCTCTCTGTTTATGCCAAGTTTTAATAGACTGATGTCCCCTGAAAGTCTCCAAGTGAGGGGTGAAAGAGTACGGCTGGGACCCTGGGCAACTGACTAACCTCTCTGCCCCCTCAATTTCTCCATCTGGGAGAAAGGTGCTGCACCACCTCTCAAGGTGGGTTTAGGGCAGATGGTGTTTATAAAAGAGAAGCTTCATGCAAAGCCTGGCCATACTAAGTGCTCTATACACAGGAGTCTTTGTTACTCGGACCCTTCAAGTCCAGGTTCAGGTGCCTCCTCCATCACAAAGCCCTCCCTCATCACCGTAGCCCCTTCCACCCCGACGTCATGGCATCTCCAGGATGTATCATCCCATCCTGCCCCTCCGAGCTCTGTCAGCTGTGGGGACTTAGGCAGGTCCCTTGTCTCTTGCGCCTCGGGTCCTTCATCTATAAATCAAGCAGGCAAATCATTCCCAGCTCGGGGTTGTGGTGAGGGTTAATGAATGGGTGTGAAATGGCTGGCACACGAGGGAATATATGTGAAATGCTGCAGAAATGTTAAGTAGTATCAGTTTCACTGTGGTCCCACGGCATCCCCTCTACCCGTCCCTCCTGTTGTTGAACGAACCGTAAGCACCCGGAATCAGCGACAGAGACTCTTCTTTCCTGGTGGCCTCCTACCATACCTGGTGCACACAGGGTGGCAGACTCCTGAGCCTCCCCTACTGGGCCTTTCCCCCGGCCGCCTGGTAGCAACTGGCAGTCCTACTGTCCTCTGAGACCTTCAAGTCTCCTTCAATACCCAGATGCCAAAGTCAGGATGGGAATGGAAGTCCCCAGACATGCGTCTCAGAGGGGCTGTGACCCCTAGAGCACTCTGCCCTGCCCATAAACCCTCTTCTGTTTCTCCCAGGCCTCTGTCCTCTCAGAATCTGCCCCAGGGGGCTCAGCAGAGCCCCTCTCTCCAGCAACTAACAGCCTCTCTTCTTCCTGGTCAGCTGCCCACCGACTCAGTGCGGGACACCAGGGCGGAGGGCAGCTACAAGGAGCCAGAAGGCAGATTGCACACCGACATGAGCCGGGTGCCAGTGCTAGGTGGTTACTGCCGGTGCCATCGACCCACACCGCCCGCTGTTTATCTGTCTTCCTGACACACCTAATTACCCAGGTTGCAGCTGCCAGAGCATTTGCTCCTCCTAAATCATGGGCTCCCGTCTCCCCTCGCCCGGGCCTCCAGGCCTCTGCCTGCAGAGGGCCTGCCATTGATTTTGCCGTTCCCATTTATGATCTACAAGGCTCTGCATCACTGTTGCACATTTTACCTTAATTAGTTTATTCTTCTGGGCGTCCCTAGTCAGCTCAGAAGCCAGGAGGTGGAACAGGGGAAGCTAACAACACGGGACGCCCTGACCCCTCCGGCCACAAAGCCCAGGGCCTGGCCCGAGAGCAGCCCCCTACCACAGCAGCTGGCTAAGACCAGGGCTCGTTCTGCAGGGTGCTAATAGGTGAGCTGCACAAAGGGGTTGCGTGGCGAGCTGTGCTCGGGACAGGCTGGATTAAATAAGATTCAGTAGGTAATTTATTGCAGGACTTGTCAAAGTTTTAATAGACTGATGTCCATTGAGATTCTCCAAGCAGGAGGATGGAAGTTGTGGTCGTTCCCAAACTCAGATGATCACAGAATCTTCCAGGCAGCTCACAGAGACCAGGGTTCCGTAAAGCACACTCTGGGAAATGTTTATCTTGGGGGAGCAGGGGGAGTTGGAGGTGATGAGGCAAACAGAGGAGGACAGAGTCACCCTGGGGACATACGCTCCTCTGGTCTCGCTGAGGCAGGAAATCCGCAGCATGAGGAATTGCTCCCACTGAACGTGGAGGTGAGTGTCAAGCTCCGCAGAGCCCCAGCTGCTGGCAGCTGCTTTCTCACACTGGCCCACGCGGGGCTAGAAGTTAACCCCGGTATTGCAGGGGGGACGAGCCTAGCTGGAGGGACTATCTAAAGGGGCCCTGGTCTGACAGAGGAGGGCAAGGGTTGCTTGCTGTTGGTGGAGGCTAGAGACCCAGAAGCCTGCAGGGCCATCATCAGAGGTCCCCCAAGCATTGGGAAGTGATGACAAGGTTGCCACTGCCTCGGGAACAGCCTCGAGCACGGCAGTCCAGGCCCACAGCCCCTTCTCCGCAGTCCTCAAATCCAAAACACTCTGAAAGCCTCAGGTGCTTTTTTTTTTTAAGTTTGTGGGAAAATGAATTGCTGGCAAAACCTGTCCTGAGCTGACGTGAGCTATTTATAGGCTTTATTTATCCCACTTAGTGTGAATATTCATCTATTTTACTGCAGAAATATTAATGTGTTTAATTACAAGGTGCTGCCCCATCCCTCCCGGGGGTGTTATGTAATAAACGGTGTGTGCACTGTGTTACCTTTCTAAAATGTGAAAGAACAAAATCTAAATTTCTAAGTACGTCTGGCCCCCAGGGATGGCGCTGCGGTCCACGGACTGGGGTAGCATGGGCCGACCTGGGCAGCTCCGACCCGGGGCTGGGGGCTGCAGTGCATTTTATCCTGTAATTCTCACAGCCACCTCTGAGGGAGGAGGCTCGGCTGGTACCCTGAGGCCCAGATGAGGAAACCGAGGCTGGAGAGGATAAAGGGCCAGCAAGGCCCCAAGCTAAGGAGAGTCGGCACCTGTGCTTCCATCCAGACCCAGTTCCTCGGTTGCCCCGGTGGGCTTCCCTAGCCAGCCACAGCAGTTCTGTGCCCACCCCAGCTGCACTCCCCAGCCCAAGCCTCCACACACAAATACTGGCAGGCCTCCCGGATTGGCTTCCAGCTCTGCTCACGAAAGGCCTTCCCTCCCCCGGACGGGCCTCTGCACCTCTGGGAGGGTCAGGCCGGGTAGGAGGGCTCTGCTCCGGGGCCAGCTCCCTAGGGTCTGGGGAGCATCTCGGAAGCCACTGCCAGACCCCACAGACCACACAGCAAACCCGTTGGTCCCTGTGGAAACCTTAGGAGGTTTCCACAGGAGGCCACTTAGAGAGCAAAGCCTTTTGTCCTCTCCTGGACAGAACTCCCTGAGGGATCCTTCATAAGTGCCCTCTCCTAACAAGGTCCCACTCCCTCAGTCCTACTCAGCCACTCATTTCGCACACAGACTCTCACCAGGCAGTGTGGAGCCGAGGTCCCTAAAGGATCTTGGAGAGGGCCCCATCCGTAACCTGGGAATGACCACTTCTGGCTAATACCCCCCCACCTCGAGGGGGCGCTGTACTCGCCTTCCGTGTACATCAACTCCTGTATTCTTCACAGCAAACTAGATGTAGCTATTACTCTCATCCCATCTGCAAATGGGAAAACTGAAGCTCAGAGATGCTAAGCAACTTGCCCAAAGTCAACAACTAGCCCCTAGAATCGTGGAATCTGGGTAGAACAGAGACCAGGATGGGGGCTTGTTTACTTTAAACCCCAAGGTCTTAACTACTGCACCATAGAGCTCCCTTCAGCCTAAGCCATGGCCTCCGCCTTGGGCCAGCCAGAGAGTCAAGTGCAGGGGTCTGTCCCCAGGGCCACTCGTCCCCCAGCTCACGTTCCCAGCTTCCTACAGTTGCCCCTTTGCTGTCTCTCCTGTGTTTCCTATGCCAGACCTTGAGCGTGGAACATGACCCCTCCCAAAATACGAACGCTCTGGGGCTCACATGAGCAAGAAACCAACTAGGGGTCATGGCAGAGTGGAGCGCTCCAAGTGGTCTTACAAGGGATTGAGCCTCTGGCCACCAGAAGTTCTTTGCCCTTCCCCAAATAAACCTTGGCCATGAGCGAGCTCCGGGAGGCCACAAAGCTCCCACAGTTACATGTGGTATGCCGCGCAGTGCCATGCGTGTGACTCCCTGAGCTAGTGGTCCTCGGCCTCCACCCAGCTCTGAAAGGGGTGGAGACCCCGGCCCCCGAGGGCCTCCCAGGGCTGCTCACCCCTTTCACCCCACCTGGGCACTGACCCTGACCCTGCTGCCATCGGGTTCCCCTGGGGGTGGGCGACAAGTCCGTCAGAGCTCCACTTCCTGGATCTGGGCTTAGAGCCCCAGCTACCAACCAGCATTGTTTCTTCTCAGACCCAAATGAGGTCCTGCGATCTAGCAGAGAATGCAGGAGGAGGTCCCGGAGAAAGAGACATCCTGGGTGGGATTTGGGTGCTGGAATATCAGCAAGCTCAGATCTCCCGTATAGTCGGCACAGGAGTAGGGGGCCAGGTGTGAACCCCACTATTGAGGGTCATCTCAGACCCAGGGTAGATCTGTGGCTACTGAGGCCTGGGTTGGCCATTTTCACAAGCCAGTCTCTTCTCTCAACCGAAAACACCCCATCAACCCCCAGAGAGAGCCTCACCCTCCTGCTGTGGGGAGCACTCACCTTGCCTCGATGACCTGTCTACCTGTGGCCCCAACCAACTGCGCAGGTGTCCCGAAACCTACCTGCACACTGGGCCACCATCCACCAGCCTCCCTTCCTCTTCTCTCCAGGGGTGGCCACGTACACGGACAAGTTGTTCAAGTTCCGCAACAACCGCTGGGAAGACATCCTCAGTGACGAGGTCAACGTGGCCCGCGGTGTGGCCAGCCTCTTTGCCGGGCGCTCCGTGGCCTGCGTGGACAGGACGGTGAGCTTAAGGGTGCATGGGGGTCTGGGGAGAAGAGGGGGCCACACAGCAACATGAGAGCCCACAGGGGACATGGAAGGGAGCCCACGGGCAGACATGGCCCGACAGAGTGGGACTGTCCAGGGCAGAGCCCAAAGCTGCACCCCCCACAGTGCCTTGCATGTAGCAGGTGCTAAATACTGACAAGATTTGCAGGGTGAGTTACTATCTGCTTTCACATCCTTTCTCCCTTGAGGCTCTCCCAGCAACCAGCAAGGAAACTGGTCAGGGGCTGTCCTCACTGCATCCATTGGGCAGAGGAGGGCACTAAGGCCCAGCTTGGGCACTGACTGGCCTGAGGCCCCCAACGAGATTGGCAGTGTGACTAGGACATGAATCAGACTCTTCCAGCTCTAAACCTTGTGATCATTCAGTCATTCAGCCAATATTTATTAAGCCTTTACTATGTGCCAGGCATTGAGCCATACGGCTCTTGCTGAAAATATTTGTGGAACGATGAAGGAATGACAAAGAGGTTGGTTAGTGGGTGAGTGGAGGGTGGCCTGAATGTCCCAGTCCTCTGGTTAATCAGTAGCTCGGTCACTGCTTTCATCCCTGCTAGTTACCCCATGGCAGGTGCCAAGCCAAAGCAGGTAGGGAGGAAAGGCGGAAGGGGAGGGGCAGGAGCAGACAGCCACCTGCCCCAGGGGGTGGCCCCGGCCCAGGCTTGCGTCCCAGCAGCCCCAACCAGAGCCTGAGTCTTGCCGTGGAGACCATTTATCCCTCCTGTCACCTGCTCCCTTGCTGCCCCCTCCTTGGCTTTAGAGACAGGCATCAGTAAATCAGGGGCCCAGCTGCTGTCTAGCTTCCATTCCGGGGGCAGGGGCAAGGGGCCAGGGGCCTGGCTCCTTTCAGGATGGAGATGGCACCGAGGGGATTGGGGATTCAGCGTGAATCTTCACAGCAGGGGCCTCCAGGCCTTGGGAGAAGGCAGGTGCCAGGTATAAATATTTATTTCTTAACAAGCTGGTGCTGGGAAAAGAAGCCAAGCTGGGCTGTGAAGCCACATTTAGCCCTGACCTGAATCTTTGCCACCTGGACTCCTGCCTGGTGGGAGGGAAGGAGGAGGCCGTGGCTCTGTGAGCCGCCCCAAAAGAGTGAGAAGGGTCTGGAGGGTGCCAGGCCTGGCCACTGCAGGGAGCCTCTTGCCAGCCTCCTGCTTCCTGCCTCGCTCCTGCAGAACCAAGACTTCCCACACTTGGCCAAGGTGAGAATCATCTCCGAGCTGGGGACAGGGCCTGAAGGTTAATCACAAAGAAATGCACTCTTTGTCCTAACAAGGTCATCTGCACGCCCACACTTTTAACCACAGGACAAAGGCACCATGTGAAATACAAAAAAAAAAAAAAAAAAAAAAAGCTTTGGCACGCCGGCACTCGGGGAACTAGAAAAAGCCCCTACAGGGTCAGCCACCAGGAGAGGGACTCCTTTCTGGGTCCAGCCACCACTGCCACCCTAGCAATCCCTGGGTCCTGAGAACTGGAGAGGGGTGGGGGGAATAGAGCCAGGTCATGGCCACTCTGGGATGCTGCGCAGTGTAGGAAACACAGAAGCAATCTTAACAATAATGACAGCTAACCGTAATGAGCGAGCAGCACACCAAGCCCTGAGCTTGGGGCTTTATTCACGTTGTTTACTGATTCTTCACAATAGGCTTACAAGGTACCTGCTGTCATTATCCCCATTTTACAGATCTGGAAACTAAGGCTTCCAGCAATTAAGAAACTTGACCTTGGTCTCATAGTTAAATGGCAGGCAAAGACAGAAATTGAGAACGAATCAGATGCCTTTCTGTCCCACGGCGACCCTACCCCTGGGTGAACCAGTGTCAGTCACCAATTTCTAACCACAGGTGCTGTTACAGTGTTCACCTACCCCTTCCTCAGCCCCACAGCACCCCCACCCCCCAGCACTGATGCCTTTTAGTGGACCTGTTCCCAGCGTGTGGTCTCCAGACCAGCAGCACCAGCAACGTTGTCGGAAATGCAGATTCTCTGGGCCGGACCCGCACTCCCTCCTCCAGACCTACTGCGTCTGAACCCACAGGGCGGAGGAGGTGGGCAGAAGTCTGGGTTTGAGCGAGCCCTTCGGGTGACTCTGGCGCAGGCTGTAGTGGGACAGCCGTCCCTCAGGTAAAGGTCTCAACCCTACCACATGCCCTTCCTGTCCTCTCTCCAGCCGCCCCCATCCCCTCTAGGCCCCAAACCTGGCACCCTCGCCTGCCCTTTGTCTGCAGCCGCCTCATCACTCACCCACCTTTCTGGATCCAGCTCAAAGCCAATCTCTTACAAGAAGCGTTCCCCGATCGATAATGATTATGCCTCATGTTTATATAGCATTTTTATCTTTTGGAGACCTTTCACATGTGTTGTCTCATTTCATCTTCTCAACAACCCTGCCAGGAAGCAGGGGGAATATGATTCCCCTTTAACACATGAGGAGACGCAGCCGAAGGGGGTGAGGAAACTGCCCAAGGACAAAGCCACGGAGGGGCAGAGCCTGGACCAGGACCAGGCTAATATCCCTAGACCGTGGCTCTCCGGGTGTGGTTCCTGACTCAACAGCATCGACTTCACCTGGGAACTTGTTCAAGATGCAAACTCTCGGGCCCCACCCCAGAGCTCCCAAATCAGAAACTTGGGGGATGAGACCCAGCATCTACGGTTGAACAAGAGCTCCACGTGATTCTGATGTAGACTGAAGGGGGAGCCCACTGCCCTGGGGAAGCCTCTCCCCAGGCTCATCTCTGCAGCCCCCTCGCTGTCCCAGGGTGACTGTATTCAAGCCACATGGCAAATTTCTGCAGTCCCCTGCCATCGTAACGCATCTATGTTTGTCAACTTTTATCATCCCCATACAGTGAAGAAAGGCACTAGGTATAATGGGATTCTATAAACATCCTAATTTCCAGCCAAGTGCCTTTCAGTTCATTTGGGCTTAATTGCCCATTTGTGGCGGGGATTGCCAACAGCTGGTAGGGTCAGGCGTGGGCCCGGGGATGGCACACTTTCCCCTTCGGCCCCATTCATTCAGTCTTCATCCGATCATTCCACGCACATACGCCATACTCCTGCCACCGGCAGGTGCCTCTCAGAGTTCTCCCCTAGTCACGAAGCTGTGCCATGAAGCCCTGCATCTCTAACTTTGGTTTTGCACGGGGATCACATGGGGTTGGTGTGAAAATGCAGATTCTGCTTCATCGGGTCTGGCAGAGGGGACAGGCCACCGAGAGTCTGCAGTTCTAACCTGCTCCCCCATGACACCTATGCTGCTGAGTGACAAGGCTGGGAGCGCACTGGCAGCAGGATGGAGCCTCAGATAACCGAAGCAGAGGGGGCTTCGGTATCTTTAGGGAATATCTTTGCCTCCTCCTTCTCCAGCTCCACACCCTTTCTTGCATTTTCTATTCCGGCAACACCGAATGAACCACTTGTGGTTTCCCTACATACATCATTCTCTAGAGTATCATCTCTGCCTGGAAGGTTCTTTCCTGCACTCTTCACCTGGCTGAGACACCTCTTACAAAACCTTTTCTGAACTCTGCCGGTTCAGTGCTCCTTCCTCTGGGACCCCCTCTTCTGTACACCAGCAAATGCTGTACATAGTCTCTCTCCCTCTCTTTAAAAAAAAAAAATTCCAGTCTAGTTCACATTTTTTTAAATTTTATTTTCGGGATAGTTAACTTACATGTTCTCTGAATCCTATATGTTCTTGTATTACGGTTGCCGTGTCCGCATCCCCTCAGGAGACCATGAGCCCCTTTGTTGGCCTCAGCCACCCGTCAGTCAGACAAGTAGCTCTTCGTCAGCTCCTCCAATGAAAACATTCCCACGGAAGGGATAAAGCCAGTGATCGGTTAGGTGGGATGGGGGTTCAGCTTACGAGAAGTTGGGTTGGGGAAGAAATCAAAGTCAGCCACGCGGGCCAAGGGCAGAGAAGAGAGTGGCCTGGAACTCAGCTGTTTCTCTCGCATTGTTTCATATTTCTAGCTTGTGTTTAAACAAGGCGACAAGCAACTGGAGAGCGAAGATGTTGTTTTGGGGACATTTAGAGCAGAATCCGTTGCAGGTAGATGGAGCTCAAGAAATATCTGCTATCTGATGGGTTGGAGGGAAATGATGAGAAGGATGAGGGGAAAGCTGGAAAACTGTTCGGAGGCAGAAAACAGGCGGCTCTCTGGGGAGAAAGGAGGCATCCATTGAAAAAATGACACGGTTGTAATAACAGGCAGACAAGAAGCGTTTGTCAGTGGGGTTTCACACCAGAGCAGACAAGGATGGTAGCAAGGAGGAGCTGGTGCCCAGGGCTTCTCCTGGATGCAAAGGCAAAAAATGTTTGAGACAGTGTTACAAAGGCAGAAGCAATACACTATTTCTTTCTGGTAATGTGGGCAAACAGAGGAACTGGAAGGGGGCCCCCCTGCATATCCAAGCCTCTTAGGCCATCGAAATAGCAGAATGAGGGAATCCAGAGTGGGAGGTGGGGAGGGAGATGACTCTGGAATTTGCTTGTCATCTTGGCTGGTGTGAGCTTGAATGGGAGAGAGAGAGAGAGACTGAGAATAATGGGAATTGGTAGATCAATCAATCAGCAAATATTTATTGAGCAGCTACCCTGGCTGGCAGCTGGAGAGAGCTCAGCTGGAGAGAGGCACATTAGAAAATTGTCTATAAAAAGGTGGTTGTGGGGGAGAGGGAGGGATGTGTTCTTCTGGAACAGGATAGAAGGAGAAGCAGGGCTGCTTTGTTGTAGGAATCAGCGGCGGGGGGGCTGGTGTTGTGCAGTCTGCAGCCTCAGGGAAAAGTGATTCTGGAGTTGGGCCCCACATGGCCCGAAAGGCCCTTCACACCAGACCCCAGGGAGAGGAAGCTGAGCCAAGAAAGACCCATGGTCCTACACGAGGAGAGGGAGAGCCCCTTTCTTGGAAAGAGACCACAACGAGCCCAGATGGGCCTGCTCACCTACCCTCCTTCCCTTCTTCCCCAGGGCTCTGGACGCTACTCTATCTATATCGCCAATTATGCCTACGGTAACGTGGGCCCTGACGCCCTCATTGAAATGGACCCCGAGGCCAGTGACCTTTCCCAGGGCATTCTGGCGCTCAGAGATGTGGCTGCTGAGGCCGGGGTCAGCAAATACACAGGTAGGCAGAGTGACACCGGGTGGCGGGGTGGCGGGCCGGGGTGCTGTGAGTTGGAAGGGCGGGAGGCCTGGGGCTGGGGGCTGGGCCCGGCAAGGCTGAGTCTAGTTCATCAGCGACCATGGGAGAAGAGGGGGTTTGTGTCCCTGGGAGGGGAGGATGAAGGCTTTTTTCCCAACCCACCCCCAACAGGCGGCTCTTCCAACACTGCCTCTCTAAGGGTTGGTGAGCTATCTGGCAGGCGTGGGCTTTGGGGGACCCCGTGGGGGCCGTGAGACATAGGATGAGAACACTATAACATCCTATCCCCAGAACCTCTTGCCCCATCCCCCGCTGTAACCCAAATGATGGGCGAACACATTCTGGAGGAGAAAATTGACAAATCACAAAGGCCGAGGTTTAAAGCATTCTTTATTGCCAAACAGCAGATGAAATTATTTACTTATACATAAGCAGCCAGGAATTGAGTGCTAAATCCCTAAGCTTCAGCTGGGTCCCGTCTCGGATAACTGAGCTCAAAGAATTGTGTTCTTGTTCCAAAACCTCTCCAGCCCCTTTTCTTGAAGCCATGCCCCCCTCCCCACATACACACACCTCTCTGGATGGGGGACCCATTGTCAGAGTCTCTGACAGGGAGATCTTTCTAGGGAAGGCTGTTTTTCTAATTCGAGCACGGCTGCTGACTAAACTCTGATAAACTGCCAATAGACTGCTGATTGCAGAGCAATCCGGTTCCTGCTCCGGGTGCCAGAAACCAGGAAGCCAGAGCTGTGCACAGCCACGTCTCACGTGAACTTCGGCTTCCCTTGTCCTGGTCCTGTCATTTGGACGTAGAGATCTGCTTGCTGGTTGACCTTCCTGATCTCTCCGTCCCAGCTTGCCCTACAGACTTCCAAAGGGCCAGCCCACCCCAATCCAAATCCTGGGCCCAGAAGGATGCTTGGTTGGTGGGGGGTGGGGGTGGGGTCATTTGGGCCATCCCCCTGCCTCCATACACCTGGGTAGGTAGCCAACTCTCAAAGCCCTACCTAGAAAGGGTTGTCACAGCCTCTCCTGAGTTTATAATGCCTTTCTCTAGCCAACTTTCCACTTCGCTGAGATGGGGAGATTGATGTTGACCTGTCTGACGAAGTTTGTGGGAACAAACGGCTAGACAGTAAAATAGTTTGCACAGCTCCAGTCCCATGCCAGTGCGCGCGAGCTCCGCACGTGAACGTGCAGACTTCCTGGCTGAGTGTCAGTAATAAACCATGCTTTCCTGGGAAAAGGAATAAACATGCAGGAGCTTCAGCCTAGATTTGTACCGTCAATTTTTCTGAATAGTTCCCAGTTCTGTGCATTGGGCTGGCTTGGCAATTAAGTGCCTTCGTCTGCAGGAAAAGGAGAGTGGGCTGGGGAGATGAAGTACTTGAAAATGATGAGCTGGAGGGAGGCGAGGTCTGGGAGAGAGGCTTCTACATGGAATAAAAGAATTCAGGAGGTTGCGGCTGGGATGGAGCATGAAGAGGGCATTGTTCATGCTGGCTGGATTGATGGAGGGGCTGGCAGGAACCAAGGAGGGGGCAGGAGGCGACCAAGAGGAGACAGCTGAGGAGGACGGATGGGGATGGGAGCAGCAGCCAACTGAGCCAGGCTGTACTGAAAGGACCGGGCAGCTCGAGGAAGGGACAGCAGTTTCTGTGGAACACACAGGCAGGCGGGGGCAGCTGGCGTGCCCAGAGGACACGTTAGAGCGGCTCTGCAGACTTCCAAAAGCCATTTGGCTGAGAAGAACCTATTTGGCCCACCAAGTTACTATTGTGTCTGCCCGCCTTCCCCAGCCCACCCTTTCCTTGCCCGCCAAGCCCCTCAACTCTACCCCGCAGACCCCGTTGTCACTTCGTTAATGACACATGGACATCTGGCTGGAAAACTAACCCAAAGCACCCCCCTGAGCCCCAGGGACGGACCCCAAATGTAAGGGCTGCCACTGGAGCCTGGCCTGATTGCTGAGTCTCTGGCACATGGCCAGCGCTCAGCTCCAGGCTCGGGCCCTCAGGCCTGGAGAAGGGGAGGGACACAGGCAGTGACGAGCAGGCCCTGGAGGAAGCCAGCCATAGCCAGATGTGCAGTCCAGGAGCCACAGGTCCCCAGAGCCCAGCCACACAACACCCAGCTGCTGGACAGACCTCAGAGAGCCTCTTGTTTTACAAAAGAGCAAACCGAGGTCCAGAGAGGAGAAGGGACTTGCCCAAGGTCACACAGAGGGTTTGCAGAGAAACTAGCGTCCTGAGCCCCAACCCCCAAAGCTTAACCAGCCATAATCCACTGACCTTTCTGGTGACCTCCAGCTGGAGCCTCCCAGCTCCAGCCCACAATACAGGAGGAAGGTCTTGCACCCACCAGGACGCAGCCCCAGGGATTGGCACTCAAGGGCATGATTTTGACCCCCAGTTTTTGTGACTCGAGCAACTGCTTGGCCTAGGCCGTGCCTGGCAGTAGGGGGAGGCCCGGGCAAGCGGTGGGCAGGCTGGCCAGTGGTGCTGCCTGCCCTGTGCTGTCTGCTCTCCCGCGGGGGAAGGGAGGCCAGCTCTCCAGACTTGAGCGAGTTGGCCAGCAGCGCTGCTCTGCTAGGTCACAGTGCCATCTAGTGGCCAGCATGCCCGCTCTCGGGGGACAGGAGGGCCACTGGCAGACCAAGGGTGCTGAGTTGAGCTGGTGCTGACTTGAGTGGAGGAAAGCCCACTCCCCCATGGTTCCTAGTTCAAGAGGAATCCCAAGCCCTGACTTTCCCAGATGCCTGAGGCCCCTCGGAGCCTGAAGGGTGCAAGGAATCCTGAGAATTAGTTGTCCATGTGGCAGAGGGCCCGGCATGGAACCCAAGGAGAGGGAAGGTAATGACCAGGACTCTGCACTGGCCTCTGCAGACCTGAGTGACCTTGGGCACCTCCCCCAGCCCCTTTGAGCACCTTGAACTCACTGTCTGAACCACCGTCTCGCAGAGCTGCTGAGAGGACAGGATCTGGTGCCATGGTCTGGTGGCACAGGTGGCACCAGAATCTGGTGCCACAGGTCCTGCCTCAGCCACCCGTCCTGTCCAGGCAGCGACTGGCCATTTATTAACCTCGTGGGCCTCAGTTTTCTCACCTGCAGTGGGGGCATGAGAATGAAAGGAGGCATAGGACAGGCCTGGCACAGGCCTGGCTCAGGGCCGGGACCTTCAGAGTACAGCAGACAGCAACACCCTCCTCGTCCGAGGTGCCCAGGAGGACAGATGCCAGGGCTCTCTGCTGGGCACTTCCTGGGTGCTGGATGCAGAGAGCGTCATGCCAGGCACAAGGTGCAGCCCAGAGCAAGCCCGCCCACCGCTTCCCTGGCGGTGGTCTCCGTGGGGTCCCCTGCCCACCTTCCAGCCCTGGGTACGGTCACGGGGTTCTTCATGCCCCTCCACTGGAATCCATTGGTCTCCCTCTTCACGCTGCCTCCCCAGCACCCCGGGCTCCACCCCTTCCCCAGGAGCTCTGCATTTTGGCCTCACCTCTTGAGGAAGCATCTGTCTGGGCTGCAAGGTGGCAGTTAAGGAATCCTTATAAGAAATTTGGAAAGAAAATGAAGGTGGCTTTAGGATATGGGGTGGGGATTTTTGCTGTTGGCTGGGAGCAGTGTAGAACAAAGCGGAGGGCAGATCTGATTTATAGGAAGTCATTACTGGAGGAGAAGGAGATGCCTAAAGCCCAGCTGAGGCCTCTGGCGGCTCCCTGTCAGTGCACTCCAGAGAGCTGACCACGGGTAACAGAGGGGGCCGCAGAGCCTCCCAGGCTGGCAGGCGGGCACTGCCTCGCAGCGGGAGCCCAGCGGATGTGACAGGCGGAACTGGAGGGACAGGCTCCTCGATGGGCCTGGGACCCTCGGGGTGTGCAGCCCCGGGCCTGCCAGGGGGACCCAGTGCCCCCAGGACATTGTGGTATCCATGCATTAGATGATTGACAAGAAGGGACATCACTTTTCTTTCAAAACAAACACAAATACTCATATAATAGAAATGCGATCATGGTGCACTGTTTCTTCTACTAAAATAAGAGATTTTAAAGAAAGGTCAAGCCTGCGGCTGGTCACTCTGGGCCTTACCGGGAGTCCAGCTCCCTCTTCTGCCGAGAGGAAGCTTGAGTAGAAAGGTTTGGGAGCGCCCTCTGGGGCCAGCCCAGGCTCTGGGGTCACTCAAATGTGCATTTGGACTGCGATCAGCGGCCCGTTGGCTGCCCTCGCACCTCCTTGAGCCTTGGTTTCCTCGCCTGGAAAACAGGAGTGGGATGAGACGCGGATGGTGCCTAGGACAGGGGACTGGAGAACAGGGGCCCAGATGAGCTGGGCTTCTTCAGACCCCTGCCCATTCTGTCCACTGTCCCGGTGGCATCCTACAGGGAGGGGCTGCCAGGATTGAGGGAGGAGTGGAATGTCCGCGTCTAATACCCTCCACCCTGTGTACTCGGAACCCTACCAGCTCCTGGGGCGGCTCGCAGGGGGTCGTGGGTGGCAGCACCAGCCCTGACACATATTATTCTACGTTTGAATGTCTGGGGAATTTAGGATTAAAGACCCTGTTACCATCCTACCCTGACCCTCACTGCCCCTTCTCCCACACACCCGCGCACACGAGCACGCACATGCACACACACTGCCCATTCTTCCGCCTCTGTGTTTCCCAGCATCGTTGCTACTCTTCTGCAGTTTCTTGGATGCTCTTGGCAGCCTGCAGGCCTTGGCGTCCACAAGAATTGTATTTCTGTTGAGGTCTCAGTAGATTAATCCCACGAGTCCAGATTCTTGGGCCAACGAGCCTCACAAAGCCTCCCTCCACTGGCTTGGGCTCCAGATGGGCCTGGTATCTACTCCCAGCCACGCTGGTCCCGAGTTTCAACCTGGAGAATTCACTGAAGGAGTGGGAAGGAAATTGGAGCTCTCAGTCCCTTCCCCAGTTCATGGGGAGGGAGCCCAGGGCCTGGAGGGCACACAGCTCAAGTTCCTTTAGCCAGAGCAGGTGCGGAGGCCAAGCAAGGACCTAGAGGCTCTTCCTTAGCATGGCAAATACTCCTGCCTCCTCGTGCCTGGGTCCTCCGGCCCCCAACAGCACACCCCACCCCCGCTATTCCATGCAGCCTCCCTTTCCCATCGTCACCCCTACCCGCTCCGGCTCTCAGATACAATCCAACTTGGCGGCCGACCACCCCAGGGCCGCCTAGATGCCATCTGAGAAATGGATCACCTGTACCTAAACCGGACTTGGGTCCACCTCACCAGAGTGCAAGGGTTCGAGGGTTTAGCGGTGCAGTTTTTGAGGGTAAATGAGGTTACCCCGTGGGACTCAGGACCCCTGGGTGGATAATCAGAGGGGCTGCCAGAATGTGGCAGGGGAAGGCTTTTTCCCCAGTCGCTCCACCTCTCCCACCCAGCTTCATGGGCAGAGTGAGAAGCCTTCAGGCGGGGCTGGGCAGGGAGCTGCGTTTGCACCCAATAGCAGAAAAAGGAGGCCTTAGGAACCTGCAAGTGCTGGGGAAATAAGGAGATTTTATTCACCTAGCAGGTGGGAAATCGTCCCAGCTAATAATGACTATGTGGCACCTGACATTTTCCAAAGTACCTTCTGAAAACCAGCTCACTTAATATTTATGACAGTTTATGAGAAGAAGCTGTTGTTACGATCAGCCTCCCATTAGCACTGAGAAAACAGAGGCCCAGAAAGTTCCGCTGATGTGCCCAAGGTCACATGCACACTTTCTGATCCGGTCTTCTTTCCCATCACCAGGGCTGCCCTCCAGCCCTAGCTGGGGAGCTGCTTGTCCCCAAGAGCATGGGCCACAGCAGATATAGAAGAACGAATTGATGTAAAGTAGAATCTCACTCCCTACTGGGACATCGTCCTCTGAGACAGTTCCTCACTGCCCCTTGGGTGACCCCGGAAGGTGTGGGCTCAACCTCAGGAGGGAGAGAATTGGGGGAGGGGAGAATGTCAGGGAGAAGAGACAGAATTGGGAACCTCTGTCATGGACCCTGCAGGGTGGATGGATGTTACTGGTTTGGAGAAGATTTACGTGCTCCACCTGGGAACGCACCTCCGAAGCTCAGCAAGGGGCACAGACAACAGGCAGCCCCTGCCTCAGCCCGGAACTGGGCTCTCCATCCTGAGGTTGCTGGGGCCGCTGCCCAAGGGGCTGGCTCCCTGACTGTCGATCACCTGCTCCCCAACTGGGCGGTGAACTTGCCAAAAGGGAGTCATGGGTAACGTCTCTGTTATGGTCCGGTTGCCATGGCAATAAATTGTCACTAATTAGTAGTGTGGTTACCATGGCAATTTTCTAATAATTACAGGTTACAAATGGTACAAGGCTTCAACCCAACCCAATTAGTTAATTAGAAAGATTTAGAAATTTGTCCAAGAGGGAAATAACCTGCTTTGTAGAAAATGAAGAGAATGTGTCACAGCTTGAGAGCCAGAAGCAGAGAGGAAATTGGAGGACACCAGAGTGGGGAGGAAGGATGGAGTTGCATGGTGGCAAGTCCCACAGCCCCACCTGGAATTTCCGGGGGCCCAGACAAGGCCCAGGGTTCCTCACCGAAGCCTGTCCCTGGTTTGGAATCTGGCAGGATGGGTCAGGGAACAACTGTCAGCAGCCACTCCAGGGCTCCTCTCTGAATGGGCCTACGTGGGGCCCAGGTTACAGCTCAGCAGCCCTCCCTGCTGGCCTTAGGAAAGGCATCCGGAAGCCTCCCCGCCCCACACTGTGGCTCTCCTAATGAAAACTGCACGCCCCATCTTAGGTGATGCTACCCAGGATTACTGTGGATTGAGTGACTCCGTTTTCAGGAGGCTTGGGCTTTCCTGGAGAGCTAATTAGATTACCTGTGTTCCTCTGGAGCTCAACCACGAGAGCAAGGGGAGTGGCATTGCCGTTGGACCCATCCCCTCTCCTGGCCCCTAACTCCTGACCTGGGAGGCAGGCTGCATTGCACAGGTGAGAAAGGCCCCATGATTTCCTCCAGGGACCTTTCCCAGAAGGCAGGAGGAGTCCGGGAACCAAGTGAACCTCCGTCCCACTTTAGCACACTTTATGGAAAGCTCTTCCCCAGCCAGAGCCAGGCAGGCAGTTGGTGGGGGTAGTGGGGGTGGGGCGCCCAACATCACTCAGGTCTGCCTGAGCTCCCGCTTATTTAACAAATGACAACAGTAAGTTCTTCTGAGTTTTCTGATAACTATTCTTATTGTACTGAACAGCCTGTTAGAGCCACACCTTTCAAAATTTACTGGGCACATAGCCACCCAAGGGTCCTGCTAGAATAGAGGTACTGACTGGCAGGGGGGCTGGGATTCTGCCTAACAAGCTTGCCCCCTGCCGTGGTGGGCCCACGGACCTCACTCTGAGTAACAGATGGTAGGGTTCACAAACCCCGTTCATGTGTCTCACCTCACGTGATCCTCGTAAAGATCCTAAAATAGAAAAAGCAGGTCATGCTACTCCTGTTTTACAGTTGAGGAAACTGAGGCTCAAAGCATACCATAAATTGCCCAAGGTCACACAGCTTATAAACAGCCATGCTGGGACTAGAATCTATGTCCTGTCCTGGTCAGACTGTCTTCTGCCCAGTATTCCCAGGCACTGGGGCTGTGGCTTCCGGGGCTTGATTCAAAACCCAGATGTCTTCATATTGGACTTGTTGACACTGGGAGCTCAAATTTTATCTTGGAGACATCAAACCCTAATGTAGAGCTGGCTTGACTTCTTCCTTTTTAAAAAAGTATGGAATTATTGGATTTTTCCCTTTCCAACTGCAGAAGCGATTTTGTTACAACAAGCCAAACAACACAAAGACATTCCCAAAAAAGGCGAACTCCTGTCTCTCCTTCCCTCCCTGAATCCCACCCCATCTGGCAGCCTGGGGTTAACAACGCAGGGCATGGCCTTTCCCACTTCCCCCAAACTCAAGGACAAGCTTGCATGAACACATCCAGAAATATCATGTGTTTTCTTTCTTTCTTTCTTTTTTTTTTAAATAAAACTAAGATGACGCAACACCATTATTTGGTGAATTGCTTTTTCACTTAACAGTATGTCATGGGCCCTCCTCCAAGCCAACACATATGGATCTGCACAGTCTTTTCAGCGGCTGCAAAACGGTCCGTCCTATGGATGCAGCCCACTCCATTCAGCCCATCGTTGTTGGTGGACTTACAGGTTGTTCCCAGTTGCTTACTGTACCAAGCAAAGTCAAGAAAGTATCCTGCAGCCTTAGCCAGAACCTAGTCCCCTGTGTTCTTGGGCCAGGAGCACACCCGGTGTCTTGACTGGCATACAGATGACTCGAGGTGGGGGTGGGGGTTGTCAGGAAAATCTGTGACTTGATCAAAATGTGGTGGGTAGGGGCGCCTGGGTGGCTCAGTGGGTTGAGCCGCTCCCTTCGGCTTTGGTCATGATCTCGGGGTCCTGGGATCGAGCCCCACGTGGGGCTCTCTGCTCAGCAGGGAGCCTGCTTCCCTTCCTCTCTCTCTCTGCCTGCCTCTCTGCCTACTTGTGATCTCTGTCTGTCAAATAAATAAATAAAATCTTTAAAAAAAATGTGGTGGGTAGATCTGGGCTGGGGGATCGTTGAGAGTCAGCTTCTGAAGGGAAGGGAGGGATCTGTAGGATGGCCTCTGTGTTCCATAGGTCATGGGGTCATGACTTGGGCACAAAGTGACACCATCTTGCCCCTCCCTTGCCTTATCCTTCCTTGTATCATCCTCTACACATGTTAACAGGACTTTGAGCCCAGATCTGGGCTCAGAGAAGCATTCCCCTGTCCCCAAAGATCTTCAGAGGCCTCGCCACAGCGGCTTCTCAAAGGCCTCTGAGGCCCACCCATCCTCCTCACAGGCCTGAGGCTCTGCTTATGCCACTCACTGTGGGTTGCTGTCCTCTCCTAGGGGGCCGCGGTGTCAGCGTGGGTCCTATCCTCAGCAGCAGTGCCTCAGACATCTTCTGTGACAATGAGAATGGGCCCAACTTCCTCTTCCACAACCAGGGTGATGGCACCTTCGTGGATGCTGCTGCCAGTGCCGGTGAGTGTGGCCCCTGCCCTGGGTCCCTCACTGCCCCAGACCCTCGGACGCTGGCCTCAGGGAGACCGGGACCAGGAAGCATGCCCACTGTGCAGGGAAACATTGTTTGTCACCTTCCATTCTGTATCCCCCAAGGCTCCAGCCACAGGGGATGTGTGCTGCTGGGGAGAGGGGTTGCCTGGAACTCCTGACCATTATCCATTTTCCAGCAACTAGATTTAGCCCGTGTTCCTCTGAGTCCTGCTTGAGTCTTCAGCATTAATTTCCCCTCCAAGCCACCTCTTTCCAGTTCCCCTCCCCACATTCACCTTAATCACTAAATTCAATCCAATAACCATTTATGGAGCACCTGCTAAGTGCCAGGTGGTACTTAGAGCTGGGGATGCTGATCCCAGGAAGGTTGTACCATCCTACCCACCTGCCACACATATGCACACAGGCACGATGAACAAACAAATAGCTAAGTAAGGGGACTAAAATCCACACAAAATAGTACTTCAGGCTCCCAGCTCTGCTCCCCTTCCTCCTTTTGTGCTCATCCCTCATCTGCCTCAGGGCCTTTGCACCTGCCATTCTCTCTGCTAGAAAGTGCCTTCTCCCTTTTCTCCTTCTGCAGAAATTCTATTTATCATTCAGCACTCAGCTCTATGAAGCCCTTCCTACCTCCCCCTGGGCCGCCTGGCAGAGATTCACACTTCCTCATCTGCATTCACACTGCCCTTACATGCACATCTCGATCAGGCTTCTACATTGCTAGAATAATCTAGGTCTACAAGGACGGGACACTGTACTGTTCATTCTTGACACACCACAGTCACCAAGTAAATCTTGCTGAATGGTGGAAGGGACACTTAATGAAAGTTTGTGGGTGTTAATCAGCCTGCCCTTTGACCACTTCTCTCCACCCACTTCCTCCCCACCTTGCCAATGAAAGGGTTGATTTCACCCTTCTCAGGGCAGCACAGAGGCGAGCGCTACCCTCCAGAAGAAGAGGTGAGCGGGGATTAGACACATAGATCAAAGGTCCTACAAGCTCCAGCTAGTGCCGACAGCGAGCATCAAATCCCTGAGCGTCTGCCAATCCATCCTCCCTGACTTACAAGATCGTAATCCCCCACCTCTCTGCTTGAGAGTGCTCACTTCCAGCACCACCCCTCCTCTTGGAGCCTGTCCACTTGCCTTGTGCCTTTCCCTCTCCTCCTTCCTGGGCAGAGCTAGAGCTGGAGGCAGCTCCCCTGGCCTGTCCTCCCACCTGGCATGCACACACACACACACACACACACACACACACCCCCCACAGGGCTATATACTCTGGCAGCAAATTTTCTCATTGCTGAAAAATCATAAAATGAAGGGGAGGTGGTGGTGGAGTAAACCTAGAGGATTTGATAAGGTGTTAAAGAGATGGGAGCAGAGGTGAGCGAGCAAGTTGGAGTGGGAGAAGGTATCTGGCGGGAGGAGAGAGGAAAGGTGCTAGGCCCGTAATTGAAAGTCAGAATGATCGCAGGGGTTTAACAAGACATGTCAAGAGGGCATTCGTCACCCAAACAGATGCTGCTGTGAAATGCGGCCTGGCACCGATTATTCCCGTGAAAGGGAACCAGCTCCTTGTCAAAGTGCCTCGTAGATAGGAGAGAAATGGGCCAACACAGAAGGCCACCGACATTTGGGCTGGGGAGTTTTGTAGAGAATTAATGGGGTATTAATCCTAGAGATTAGAGGCTGCCCCCTGCTTGGAAAAGCCTCTTCCTCAAGCCTAGGGCACACTGCCTCTTCTCCCCACATCTCCCACCCATTGTCCAGATCCTTCCCTCCCCCGAGAGGGTACTCAGCATCCAAGGTGCTCAGGGGGCCCCACTCGCACCTTCCGCTGGCTCCCGTCCCCAGGAGTTCTGTGATTGCCGCTGGCAAGAGCTCCCTGGACCCTGGATTCTGTGATTCTCCCCTCCATTATCTTGTCCTATCGCCCACCCCATCTCTGAGGGCCCGATAACCAACGGCAGTTTGTCCTCTGAGAGAGTCAGCATGGGTATTGAGAACCAGCACCCAGCACCTCTCAGCTCCACACTTGGCCTGACGGAACATATCTGCCTCAGGCAGCCGGGAGGTCAGGCCATCCCTCTAGGCAAAGCCAGCCCCTGTCCTCCACCAGGGTCAGCTCAGTGGACACTGGCAGATGCAGGGACAGCAGAAGCCAGCGACACTGGACACACAGGCTTCTCTTCCCCGAGCTCCCAAGGCACGCTGTGGGTTTCTGTGTTATGATGCGGCATTTCCTCTGCTGTCACCCACATCCCCAGAAGCCTTCTGGCAAATTATTTATGTCTCTTCATTCATTCAGCAAGTATTTACTGAAAACTACTGGTCAGATGCTGCGTGAATACGGTGAACCAGAAGACAGCCCCTGACCTCATGGAGTATAAGGTCTTGTGGGGAAACGGACACTAAGCAGATAAACCACAAAGGAACCCGATGGTCGCTGTGATCAGCACAGTGGAGGGAAAGAATGAGAGGCTGTCAGGACAAATACCAAAGTAGCTGGGAGGAGCTGTTTTCATGGGAGTAGTCAGGGAAGGCTTCCCTGAGGAGGTGACAAAGTAGCTGAGAACAGAAGAAAAACAAGGAACCAGATAACCAATAGCCGGGCGAAGAGCATTCCAGGAGCAGCAACACGCTTGAGCAAAGGCCCAGAAGCCAGAAAGGGCAGGGCTCATTTGAGGAATGACAGGAGCACAGGTCACCAGAGTTTATGAGTAAGGGGGGAGGGGAAGGGGTACCAGATCAAGACCAGATAGGGTGGGTGGGGGCCTTGTGCTCCCCAGGCACTTGAACTTGACCCAACAAGACTGGGGAGCTACTGAGAGATTTAAGCCAACGGGTGATGACCAACTTACTATACCCCAGTGGCAGCGTTGGAGTAGCTGGAGGGGCCTTTGGTCCTCCAGACTTTGCAAGTCCCCTTCCCCGACCCATGCTACCCCCAAACTGAGTGAAAATTGTGTGCTTGCTGGGTGGATGCCACTGAAGGCAAGTCTGATTCCCTTTGCAACCACGCGGCTGTCCCACCTCCTGCCCCCAGGGAGAAATTCTGAGCTGGCGGCTAGGGCTTCCCGTCTGCCCCCTGGGAGGGCAGGGTGGGCACAAGGGTCACCCTCCCTGTGTCTCTCCAAGGAGCTCTAGCAAGGCGAGCGTTTTTAGGGCCTGCAGGGGATGCAGCCCTGAGGGTCCCTGTCGTTCCTCCCCAGGTGTGGACGACCCCCACCAGCATGGGCGAGGTGTCGCCCTAGCCGACTTCAACCGAGATGGCAAAGTGGATATTGTCTATGGCAACTGGAATGGCCCCCACCGGCTCTACCTGCAGATGAGTGCCCATGGGAAGGTCCGCTTTCGGGTAAGAAGGGACCTCGCCCTCCCTCCCCGCCCCCTTCCACCCATCCCCACAGCACTGCGTGCGGCCCTGGCATGTCCTAAGGATGCCACCTTGCCTGTGCCTCCCACCAGGCTGAGAAGGGGCTTGTGGCTCTGCAGGGCTTGGAGGCAGGACAGCCACAGTGAAGGCAACATCTAGGGAAAGACGATGGAGTCCAGCTTGGGCTTCATACCATCTCTAGTGCCCGGGGCAGGGAGAGCCACTGGCAGAGGAGGGAGAGCAACATCCCACAGTGGGCAGGAACAGGGCAATGAAGGTTCTGGGCTTCGTTCCTGGATTGGCAGTAGTTTTCCAGGTGGCTCCTGAAGAACCTGATCTTTTCAAGTTTAAGTTCTGGCTAAGGATGCGGTGGGCAAGAGAGGGACACATGGAACGCTGAGGCTCCGGAGCCCCCATGGCCCCCGAAGACAAATGGCAGGTGGCGGGCACCCCCAGTCCCTGTCTGTGTCCCCTCCCTGAGCTGTCAACAGACTGTGATGCCAAGAATTCTTCAAAGAGACTGTTGGGTGCCACCCCCTGGTGAGCTGGAGTTTGGAGCTTTCTCCTGGAGCTCTCATGGGATGGTTGAAACTGATCTCAGTGAGTCTGGATGGTTCTGGAGGTACCTAGGTCTTGCCAAAGTCCCCCGTGGGAGTGAGCATTTTCCCGATGCTTCATGGTCCCAGGGGAGTCTCTGAGACCCTTCTGTCTGGGTCACCGCCGCAAGCTTCCTCCCTTGTAGCAGCCACCTGGGGACGCTCAGGCCCAGCAGCTCCCTCCTCCCTTGAGACCTGGGCTCTCTGGGTGAGAAGGAGGCCTGCCCTGAACTCAAGCAGTTGATCCCGGGATCCAGGATGATTTTCATCCTTATTTAGCTTTTTGTTATTTTTTAAGATTTATTTATTTTAGAGACAGAGAGAGAGGGCATACACACGCACAAGCTGGGGGAAGGCAGAGGGACAGAATCCTCAAGCAGACTCCCCACTGAGCGCAGAAGCAGATGCAGAGCTCCATGTGGGGCTCAATCCTATGATCCGTGAGATCATGACCTGAGCAAAAACCAAGAGTCAGATGCTCAACTGACTGAGCCACCCAGGCGCAACCACCCGCCCCCCGCGCCCAGCTTTTTGTCTTAACTCAGGTTCTCCACCAGGGGTCATTTTCTCCCCTGGACATTTGACAGTGTCTGGGGACAGTGTCTGTGACACTTTTTGGTTGTCACAAATGGGAGAGGGGTGTGACTGGCATCCAGTGGGTGGAGCCCAGGGGTACTGCCAAATGTTCTGTAACGCACAGGACAGCCCCCCAGTCAGGAATGATCCAGGACCAAACATCAGTGTGCTGTGGTTGAGAAACAAGGCCCTGCCTCCTGGTGGCCCCTCCCCAGAGCTCACAGGAGCAAAAACAATGATAATAGACGCCCCATGTATCAGGTGCCTTCCATGTGCCAGGAACTGTGCTAAGCGCTTTACATACGTTATCTCAGAAGCCCGGGCGTCCAGGGGGAAGCCGGAGGGAACTATGTAGGTTTCCATTTTTATAGGATCAATAGAATAATAAGGACTTAGAGATCCTGAGGTCCCTTTCTCTCCAGCTCTTAAGGCCCTGCTCAGCCCACCCTGGCCAAGTGGCCAGGCTCTTAATCAGCCTCATTACCATGCTGATGGGGACAACCTCCCTCCTGGGCTCCCCAGAACAGGCAGCTCGCCAGCTTTCCCAGGCTGGCTCCTTCCTGCATTGGTTGGAGGGGGGACCTGCAGTGAGAGGCCAAGGAGCAGGGCCAGGCCAGTGGGCAAGAGGGGCACTCCCGGAAACATGAGCTGTCCCTTCCCAACCCTTTCCAGGTGGGCCCTGAAAGCCAGACAGGTTGCTAGAATCTTTAAGAGACAAAAGTATCTGTGATGAATATTCTTATAATCAGAAGGTTGCTCTCTACGCCTCTTCTTCTTTTTCAAAAGGAAATCCCACCCCTGAGACCCTTTGCCGGGTCCTCCAAGGCTGTGTCAGCACTTCGAGGTCCAACCTGGGCTCTCCTGGGCCTGGGGTCTCCCCATGAACCCCAGACAAGTGTATCTGATACTACAAACCCCTAGAGCAAGGGTCTCAAAAAAATTGAAAGACTTTCAGGAAAAAAACTTAAGATAGCAGCAAAAACACAGCTAGAAGCCCTCTCTTGCTTTCCATGGGACTGATGGCACGAGCAAGGCCAGGACCGGTGCCAAGGATCTGGTTCATGCCCAGTGCTTGCCAGGCATTTTTCACGCAGTGCTCACAGCCTGAGCCACACTATTCCTAGCCCCATGTTACTGACGGAGAGAGTGAGACCTGAGAGGTTAATGACTTACCTAAGATCACATGGTTAGTCGGGAGAGAAGCCTGGATTCAAGTGCAGAGCACTTTCCAGCGTCTCCCACCCCCCAGCCCCCGCTTCTGACTCTCCTGCAGAGGAGGAAGGGACATAGCATCTTGAGTCAGAAGCCCCAGCTACCGCCCCATCATTAGCCATGACCATGGGTGATTCCCCTCCCTCCCCCAGGACACCATCACCTTGCCTGTTAAATGGAAATGCTGATATCTGCCCCACCTCGATGGGAGGGCTGCGTGTGACTCTGACCAGGGAACAGCCAGGTGCTCTGCTGGTGGGAACTGGGATTGTTCCTCTCACCTTCTTGTCCTACAAGCAACCCAGGGTCTTTGTGCTCCTGGGTGCTACCACCACAGGTCCCTTCAAGGGGAGGTGAGAGAGGAGGTGTTAGGTGGGCTGTCTCTTCTCTTGGATTGCACCCCCCCCAACACACACACACACCTCTGTCTGCTGACCTGCACCCTCTCCTCCGTCAGGACATCGCCTCGCCCAAATTTTCCATGCCATCCCCGGTCCGTACCGTCATCGCCGCTGACTTTGACAATGACCAGGAGCTGGAGATCTTCTTCAACAACTTCGCCCACCGCAGCTCCTCAGCCAACCGTCTCTTCCGGTAGGCACTGCAGCCTGGCAGTGACTTCTCAATCTCAGGGGCTGGGAGTTGGGAACAAGGTGTAGGACTCAGAGGGGAGTTCCTAGGGCCGATTCCCGACGGTCCCCTGATGAAGGAACAGAGAGGAGGGAAGGAGGGACTGAGCAAGAGGCTGTGGAATGAAGGGCAGATCGGGGGCAGGAAGCTGGCCTCCTGCTGTTGTGGGGGAAACAGGCAGAGGGACATGGCCCAATGTGTGCCCAGAACCCAAGCTCTACGGGAGAGAAATCCACGTCACCACAGAAAGGAGTTACAGAGTCAAATTTGTTAGGGTGCGCCTGGGGTTAGCAAAGACAGGCAGATTTACTGGCTGCAGGACTTCTCAGAGCCTTTAACACAAGCATGAGTGTTTTTAATTTCTGAAAGGAAGATGGAGTATTCCAAACAGATTTGACCACAGGACACCTCTTTCAAAGATTTTATTCTTGAGACTGGTACTCCGCAAAAATCCCTTGGGAAATGCTAGATGAGACGATCAATGGTAGACCAGGAAAAGGGATTGACAGATGGAAGAAATCTGCAAGCACCTACATCTGGGGAGGAAAGGTTGGAAGTTCGAAGGCAATACTTCTCTAAGAGGGGCCCAGAGACCATTGCATCAGAATCACCCAAAGTGCTTATTTAAAGTACAGCATTCCGGGGTCCACCCAGATCTCCTGAATCAGAATCTCCAGGGTGAGGCCCAGAAACCTCTGTTTTTAACAAGTGCACTGGGCATCAGGTGACTCTTAATGACACCAAAGCTTGAGAACTGCTGTTGGGGAACCTCAGGCCCCATGTGGTCTGAGACAACCCTGTTCCTGGCCTAAAACATGCTACTGGGGCTCAGGAGCCGGTGGGGAGAGGAGGCAGGGGAGCAAGGGGCCTTGGATTCAGGAAATGGGCCCAGTCACCTGGCTCAGCTCCGCAGGGCCCCCATCCTCTACCCCAGGAGGGGGCCCAACTATTAATAAAAGGCAAGAGCTGTGACTAAGCATGTTTTAAAATATGATTATTAACAAAGCATCAATCCTGACTGGAAGTAATCACCCCCCAAAGGCACCAGGTTTACTAATTAGGTGCCTTGGAAAAAGCTTATTCACAACTTCCAGATTAATTGCGGAAGATCAATTGCTCCTTAACAGAGATACTACTTTCCTTCTCTGGCTAATAAAGTGTCACTCGCCAGGGCCGCTGAGCACAAGGGAGTCTAGTGATCTTGTCACTGTGGCCTGAGGACCCAGGCCCCTCCCCCATCCGCCTGCCCACCTGGCTCTGTCACACCACCCAGCCTCCCTCTGGCCACCCCGAGGGCAGGCTGGCCCGGGGCTGCCATGGACGAGGACAGGGTCACCCTATAGTGGTCCCATGGGTTAGTGTCTTGGCCTCCACGCAGCTGTAGCGTGAGCCCTTCCCAGGCAGACCCCCTGCACCCTGCCCTCCGGCCACCACAGGCTCCAGCTCAGGGGACCCCTGCCCCCCTGCCCGAAGTCACTGGCCACGGCTCAGCCCGCTGGTGACTCTGTGACTTGGGCGGACAAGAGCCATTGGCAGTGTCACAGGGGTAGAGATCAGATCCGTCCTAGCCCCCTAGCTCCCCCAGTATTGCTCCACACATCCAGGCCAGAGCAGCCAAGGCTGTAAGAATCTAACGAGTGAGAAAAATCGGGGGAAACTCGCCACCATCATCAGCATTGAGCTCGGTGCGGAGACAGAGCAAGACGCTCACAGTGGGCTTTTCTGAAGCAAGTATTGCCGTGATTCAGAGCTTAAAATAGAACCCCTGCAGCTCAAAGGGACCCGTTTCCGCCCTCTTTGCTGCTGGACTTCATCTTCGCCTCCTGCAGACACACTCGCAGAGCTTCCCAGGGGGGCCACGCGCTGTGCCAGGTGCCCGGGAAAATGCAAGAACCAGTAACACGTGGTCCCAGCCTGTGAAGAGCTCCCATCCAACTGGAGAGAGAAGAGGCCCTCGCTCAGAGCTTGACCACAAGGCAGGAAGTGACAAAAGCCGAGCAGGAAGGTCCTGCTTCCCACAGGATCGTCAGGGAGGGCTTGGAGGAGGTGGCATCTGAACAGTTTGAATCCTGGCTACACCCAGAACTCAGAAGCCCAGGGCCACTTGAAGGAAGGGGAAGGTCAGTTGAAGGTAGCTGAGTCCCTGCCCCTTCTCCATCCATCAACTGCCCTTGCCCAGGCTGTCTATAACTCATCCATTAGAGAAAGAAAAATCAATATTTACCAACGTAAATTAAAACCCAGGAAGGGAACAGGCAGGGTGTAGGCAGGCTCTGTGAGCAGATGGTGGCTCAGTAGGCGTCCACGTGGGGCCCCGGGGCTGCTCAGGGGACAGAGACGGGAGCAAGTGGACCTCTGGGTTCAGGGGGCCCGCGGGTGCCATGCCGGGACGTTAGTCATCTGGGAACGACCTGTCTCCTCTCCTGCAGGGTCATTCGCAGGGAACACGGCGACCCCCTCATCGAGGAGCTCAATCCTGGTGATGCCTTGGAGCCTGAGGGTCGGGGCACAGGTGAGGGCACCTGGGGGCTCCAGCCTTCCCTCCTCTGTCTCTGCTCTGCCTGGGCATGGGATGAGGGCAAGAGGGCTAGGGCTGCCAGCTCCCTAGAGCACAGGACCCCACCTTCCCTGCCATGCTGAAGGCTAACACCCAAGGGTTGGGTGAGCCCCTGGGAGCCTTGGGCTGGAAGCAGGGAAACCAACGATCCGTGTGGGGTTCTGGAAATCCATGGGCGGTAGGTTCTCTGGCGCCAGGCAGGGATAGAAAGGAGAGGCTGCGGGTCCTGCAGTCTGACCCTTCCCCTCTTGGTATTCAGCCTGGTGTCAGAGAAAGAGCACTGGAACGGGAGTCCCAAGCCTCTATCCTGCCACTGCCTCACTTGTGGTCTTGGAAGAGGTGCTTCACCTTGTGGGTCCTACCCTGCACATGCATGGAAGGGATAATGCCATCTGCCCTCCTTACCTGTGTGGTAGTGAGGACCCACAGGAGCCCATGAATGTGCAGACATGACATATGGACAACAGCTACAAAGGCAAAGGGCGTGTGTGATAGATGAGGAAGAAGTCCTCATGGTCTGAGCGGTTGGCACCCACTGTCTCCATGCGAAGTTCAGGGAAAGGAAAGGGAGCCCCTTTCATGATCTCCTGTCATGAGCCGGCTGTGAGAAATCCGAGGACAGAGGCTTTCCCCCGGCTTCCTGCCCCAACGCTGTGCTCTCAGCTTCCCCCTACCCCCCAGGGGGGCACGTGCATGACTGGGCAGTTGTCGGGAGCCCCTCTCCCTCTTGGGTCTCCTGGCCAATGGCCAGAGTGAAATCTGCCTTGTTGCAGGGGGTGTGGTGACAGACTTCGATGGAGACGGGATGCTGGACCTCATCTTGTCCCACGGGGAGTCCATGGCTCAGCCGCTGTCTGTCTTCCGGGGGAACCAGGTGCGCATGCGCCCCGGGGCCCGTGGAGCGCGACCCCGTGTGCTCCTCTGGGTCTAAGGCGGACGAGGGCAGAGGCCCCGGGGATACTCGCTTGCCCAGCATGCTGGGAAATAGAAACCCAGGAAATAAATCGCAGCCACACACAGTAAGCCTCCAAGAAGGGGTCCTTCGTGGGAGAAACTCTCGGCCCCTCCGCTGTCCACCGGCACTTCTCCAAAAACTGCTTTTCCTGAGCCTCTTGGCTTTTCCCTCATTTTTTTCAGTTCCTCTCTTTCCAAACTTCAGCCCACCTGTGCCTCGTTCACCTTCCTTCTCTCTTCCGTCTGCCCCCCCTTCCTTCCCTCCCCTTCCTTCCTCCCTGCCCCTCCTGCCCCCCACCCCCTGATACTCACCTGCCTTCCTCCCTCCCTGCAGGGCTTCAGCAACAACTGGCTGCGAGTGGTACCTCGGACTCGGTTCGGGGCCTTCGCCCGGGGAGCTAAGGTCGTGCTCTACACCAAGAGGAGTGGAGCCCACCTGAGGATTATCGACGGGGGTTCGGGCTACCTGTGTGAGATGGAGCCCGTGGCGCACTTCGGCTTAGGTGAGTCAGGGCGGGGGATGGGGCAGGCAATGGGGCAGGCAATGGGCTTTCGCGCCCAGATGGTGGTGGGCTCCTGAAAGTGTATCCTGAAGCATGCTCGGGAGCGGAGGGCTGCCAGTGTATGGTACATCCAGGTCCGGCGAGGCTGCAGCAGACACCAGCCATGCAGGCAACCCTGCTCCGAAATGAACCTGAACTCCAGAGGGAGGTTTCCATGCCCTGCTCTTTGCATGGACCCCCACTGCAGTCCTCGGTTGAATTCGTTCACCTTCGGGTCAGAGTATTTAATCATCCCTGAGTCCAAGACTGGGGCCTTGTTGGAACATTGCCCTGCAGACTTGTCCACACCAGCTGTGGTCTTGGCCTCTTGGGGCCGGCTTGGTGATTAAAGCCTCCCCAAACCACAGGTGCCTTCCCTTAGCTGGAATTGGTTCCTGTCTGGAGAAGGGAAGCAAGCAAATCGTACTCTGTGTTTATAGGCTTAAGATAGACAGCACGTGAACAGTGATCCCGTACACCTGTCGTGTGCATGAGCCATCGCCACACACCTATCAGAACAGCTACCAAAAATAGCGATAACACCACATGCCCGCCAGGGTGTGAAGAAATGCGCTCGCCGGTGCATTTCTGGTAGGAAAGCAACATGGTACAGCCACTCTGCAAAACAGTTTGGCGGTTTCTTTAAAAAGAAAAAACCAAACCCACAACTACTATAAGACCCAACCATTGCACTCTGGGGTACTTATCCCAGATGAACAGAAACTTCTGTCACATAAAATCTATGCAAGATTGTTCCAGTAACTTTGTCGGCAGCCGCCCAGACTGGAAGCACCCGGAGGACGCCCAGTAATAGGTTACGGTTCAACAAACCGGTGTCCATCCGCACCAGGAATGTTACTCAGCAATAAGGAGGAGGAACTGCTGATACACGTAGCAGCTTGAATAGCTCTCCGGGGCATCACAAGGAGTGGGGGGGGAAGGCCCATCTCATAAAGTAGGCCCATACTGTTGATTCCATTTATATAATATTCTCAAAATGATGAAATTACAGAGACAAAGGGGCACCTGGAAGGCTCAGTTGGTTAAACGCCTGCCTTCAGCTCAGGTCACCATCCTGGGCGGTTCCCAGAGTCCCAGATCGAGCCCTGCTTCGGGCTTTCTGCTCAGTGGAGAGTCTGCTTCTCCCTCTCCCTCTGATCCTCCCCATTCTCATGCTCTCTCTCTCCCTCTCAAATAAATAAATAAAGTCTTAATTTTTTTTTTTTAATTAGAGACAGAAAATAGAACAGTGGTTGCCAGGGGTGGGTAAGGCCACATAAAGGGACAGCCTGAGGGAGGTTTCTGGGGTGATAGAGCAGTCCTGTGTCTTGATTTTGGTGATGGTTGTTAGACAAATCCACGCATGTGATAAAATGACATAAAACTACACACGGTACCAATGTCGATTTCCCAGTTTTGGTATCACGCTACAGGGGCACAGCTCTAACCTTTGAGGGCAACTGGGGGAAAGGTACACAGGGCCTTTCTGTACTATCTTTGCAACTTCCCGAGAATCTAGAATTATTTCAACATCAAACGTCTTTAAAGAAATGCATTGGGGAGGGAATAGTGTGGGAGGGTAGGAATGTCTAACAAGCCTTCTTGGGAGGAGGGGCAATCCTGGAAAAAGTGTGGAGGAGCCAAGAGTCACTTTATTAAAACACAGCGGTTAAGAAAGCATCTGAATCGAATATACCTGGGCTCCAAGTCAGACACCCTGTCCCATGTGTTAGCAGCTCATGGGGAGATATAATATTAACATTGGAAGAGTAGACAACATGGTCTGAAGTTAATATACATGTATATATTAATATTATACACAATATTATACATCATACAGACAATGGAAAAAGCAGGAAGTAGGAACGTGATTCTGAGTGGCTGGACTGACTTAGTAACTCTCAGTCATTCTGGGAGGCATTTTGCTCTTATTATGTCCTTTCATGCTCGCAATCCCCTGAGAGACGGGCATTACTTATCCCCATTTTACAGATGGGAAAACTGAAGATCACAGCAGTTAAGAAACCTGCCAAGGTCACGTGATCGATGGGTGGCAGAGCTGACGTTCAAATTCAGACCCACCCGACAGTGTGATTTTTATTTCCTTCTGTATGTTTTGTGCGTGTGTTCCAACTTTTATAGGAACGCATAATATTTATGCAGTCTGGAAAAGAAGCATAAAGTTTTAGGGGACCCAGGGCCTGGTTCGATGAGCATGTTTTTGGGCTGTTTCACCCTGGATGGGTCAGCTCTCTGTTGAAGCATTTGTCACTTTTAAGGTAACCATTTGCTACACTGGCCAAGTACAGACTTGAATACATAGTCCTCTCTCGCCGAACACCGTAGCTGACTGTCCTTGAGCGCTAAGCATGTGCCAGGCTCTGGGCTAATGGACTCCACACAAGAAACTTCACGCAGTTCTTACCGCAGTGTGATAAATCATAACCCTTTACACAGGTCAGAAAACTGAGGCTCAGGCTAAGTAACCAGCCCCAAATCCCATCTCCAGAAAGTAGAGAGGGCCGGATTTGGATCCCGACTCCTTGGTCACCACTGACCACCATAACTTAAGGTCTTGACCTCCCAGAGCTGCTCTGCATGGACCCAGCCAAGGTCCTCCTGCTTTGCCTCTTTCTTCCTGGACATCCATGTCCCCTCAGTTACCAAGAGACCCATGCAAGGCCATCCAGTCACCAGGATAACAGCCGCGGTATCCTAGGTGGGATGTTCACCCAGTATCCAGCTGGACAGCAGCTCCCACCCCACTGTATAGACAAGGAAATTGAGGTTCCACATAGCAGTGTCAGGACAAGTTAGAGATGCTGCCCCTGGTTGGGAGCCCCTCCAGACTGCCAATCCTCGATACCTTGCAAGGCCAGGGGATTTGTTCTGGCTCTGAACTCCAGCTCAAACTGCTCCATGAGTCCCCCTGTAAGCTCCTCTCCGTTGCCAGGATCCACTCCCAGAGAGTCACGGAAGGAAGGCTGCTCTTAGGAACTGGTCCCTATGGGTCAGCCCTGGGCCTGGCAGTGAGAGTCCCAGAGGCGGCAGAGCTGGCAGCAGGACCAGGAGGAGGGACACAGCCAGAAGCAGGTGGGCTCCATCCCTGCAGCTCCAAGGTCCCCAACCCAAGAGGGTCTCTCCTTCATGGATCCAGCATAGTGCAAACCTTCCTGATTGATTGAGGGGCAGCCAATGGGGTGGGAAGAGAGGGAGCCACAAGGAAAGGCCAGACAAAAGGAAAGGTTGAGGAAAGAGAGAGGATGGGGCACACAGGCAGACAGGGGACTAGTGAAACCATGAGATGCAGAGAGATGTGGGAAAGATACAAATGGGACAAAGAAGAGATACTCCCTGCCCTCCAGGCTCACAGGCTGAGAAAGGCAGATGGACACAGAAATTCCGGGGCAAGGCAGATCTGGACGCACCGTCACATTGGCCCAGGGGCTGCGTGAGGACAAACACAGGAGAAATAGTCCTGCTTTCCCAAGGACATGGGCTTAGTATGGGGTCTAGCTGGGTGGTAGGGATTTAGAAGGCACAGAGGGTGGCAGAAGAGAACATCCCAGGGGCTAGCCTGGCTTGAACAAAGGCCCAGAGCTGGGAGTGTGTTCAGGTGCCCACCTAACCAAATGGTCTGGTAGGAACGGAGCCTAGAGAGGGAAGCCAAAGCCGAGCTGGGGGTAGTGGGGGTAGCCAAGAGCCAGGCTGGAGGGGACAAGCTGATCAGAGGGGTTGTTCAGCCCTGCAGGGCAAGCCGAAGCCAGGCTATGCTGGGCTGGGGTAGGGCCACCAGAGGCCTTCCAGGGAGACCAGTGCTTGCAAACGTTCTTAGAAGGATTTAATGGTTTTCCTGATTGTAGGAATAACACATATTGATTATAGGACAATTAGAAATTATAACATCATTACAAAGAAAGGAAAAAGAACCCCTGATCTCACCATTATCTTTTGAATATTAAGTGAAAAGTAAATGTTTCTCCCTTCACCCTCTCCCAGTAGCATTTGATTCATTTAATCAAAACGCATTTACTGAGCATGTACTATGTGCCGAACCCTAATGAGACACAGATCCTTGCCATGATTGATCTTACCTTCTAGTGGAACTAGTGGAAACATACACTATGTAATAAACATAACGACTACATAAATATATGAAAGGTTATAAGATGTTAAGCGCTATTGAAAAGGAAATGCAGAACAGGGTAAGGGGGTCAGGAGTGTGGAGGGCAGGATGTGGGAGGGTGGCCTGCTCCCACGCCCATGCTCCGTGATATAACTTTATTACATGCAGGATGCATGGGAGCACAGTTACAGGTAAGTACTCCTCGGGGATTTGTTTCCAACGAAAATGATTATGTTCTTCCCGTTATTTCCAAACTTGCTTCCTGCCCCCCTCAACAATATAACCGAGATGCCGTTCTGCACACAGGTACCCCTCCTTTGTTTCCCTCGGGTGCTGCCCAGTAGTTCACTGTGTGGCGCGCTCGTCATTCATTGAGCAAGTCTCCTCCCGACGGACAGTTCGATGGTTTCTGGTCCTGACCAGTTTGTTTCGTGGCACTTAGGGTGACATGCTCGGAGCATGTCCAGCCCACAAATACAAGAAAGGCCTGCCTAGTCGTTCCAAATGACTGAGCCACAACTGTGGGGCACACAGCTGTGTGAGGAGCCGGGGGTCTCTGGGGGGAAGAGAGCCGCCCTTCCAGCCCTCACGATGCTCCCACTCACCCCAGCTGACCCTGCTCCCTTCCTCCCTTTGAGACTCATCCCCTGCCTCCCACTGGCTTCGCGGCAATGGGTGGCGAGAGAACTGGACACAGACACGTGGGCGGCTGTGCACGGGTGCCCCTCGGCAACCTGTGCCCTGGGCATATGCGTGTCCTGCTCATCTCTGCACTGAGCCCAGGTCAGAGGACTAGCTTCTCCGCCCCTCATGTGCTCTCCTCACTCCCGAGGGTCTGGGCTGCCTTGTACCTACAGTAAAAACTCAGGGACCTCACTGGGCGGATGTTTCATTCTCTGGGGTTCCCAGAGGTCCCACTCGGCCGAGCAGAATGCCCTCATCTTCACCCGTAGAAGCGGCGTCTGCCACCACCCTCCCCACCCCTGCTCCATGATGCTCCTGGCCTTGTCCCACCCCTGCTCTGGCCCACCCTGGCCTTTGCCAGCTCCTTCTGGTGCAGATGGGCAGCCGGGCTCATGAAAAAGCATTTCTGCTCACGGCCGCTGTGGGGTCCCCACTGCATGCTGGTTGCTCTGAACCGACATCCTAGCTTCCCCACCACGCCCCGTGCCCCCACCCTACGTATCCCACACCCTGGCTCTCCATTTCCCGCTTTGCAGAGGGCTGAGGTCACTCAACCAAACCCAGAGAGTGAAAATATGCACCCACCACCGACTTGCTTGCCCCTGCCAGCCCCATAGGGGGCTCCTCACCAGCCAGCTCACCCCAAGCAATGATGGCACCCCCGTCCCCCCACCACATACTACAGCATCTTCCTTTAATTGTTTGCAAGTGACTCAGAGCAGCCTCCAAGCCTGCTGGTGCTCATTTATGGAAGGAAAATTCAGTGGCCCACATAAAAATTGCTTTATTAAAGTGCAAAAATATTCCACCAACTGTATTCCCACCATCTGTTTTGCTGGTACATCTGAAAAGCGCAATTCTCTGTGCCTCTTTGGCCTTTGTCCTTTAAAAGCTGCCAGAGGTGACTCCCTGCTGCTCTTGGCCTCCCAGCTGCGCTGGTGAATGGGGCCTCCTCCACTCCCTGACTCACAGCCCCAGCAGACAGACGGCTTCCACACTGCCCTTGTGCGGTGCCTGGAAAGACCCGAGACGTCTGGAGACTTGAGAAGGAACAGCCAAACCTGGGGACAGGAACCTGGGCTCCAGGCCTCACTCAGACACCTGCAAGTCACTTCTTGCCAATGTCTACACCTGGAGAATGCGGCTAGAACACCCACCTCTCAGGGCAGTCAGGAGGATTCAGATAAGCCTCACACGTGAAGGCACAGAAGTCCGTCCCTGTCTCCTCCCCACCTCCCCCACTCCTGCCTAATTCACACTCGCATGCTCTGCTTCCCCACTTTGAACTTCTCCCTGATCTTCAAATACACATGACCTTTTCATACCTCTGTACCATGCCGGACCCTTTGCCTGACCGGCTCCTTCCTTCCCTTCTCTGCCTCACAGACTCCTACTCCTCCTGCAACATTCAAATGAAGTGACTTTTAACACCTGCCTCTCTGACCAAGTGGCACCAACGCTATGGCTTCGTGCTCCCAGTTTAACATAATCACTTGGTTCCTTGCCCCCATGGGATACAGCTCCTTCAGGCGGGGGCCTGGCTTCACCTCCGCCCTGCCAAATCCTGCTAGGTCTGTTGGGGGTGTGAGGGTGAAGTGAGGAGAACAAGGGCAAAACAGATACGGGCTTTGGAGTCAGATGTCCGTAGCTGGGGAACTATGGGCCATTTACATCACCTCCCCAGGTCTGAGCCCCTTTGTCGCTGAAATGGAAATGAGAGATCTAGTACCTTCTGCATGGTGCTGCTAAGAGGATCTGGTGCTAACACTGAGATCAGTGGGTACAGTTTGGGGGACACATTCTCCAGTATTATTGCCAGTCAATGAGGGTGCTTTGGGAACTACAGGGTGACTCCATGTCTAAGAGATGATGGTGTTGGGGGTGCTGAGGGGACAGTCAGCCAGGGAGGGGCTCACATTGTGAAGAAGAAGGACTGTCCTCCCCAGGAGTGCTAGAGCTCTCGGCTGCACGCCCATCTTACAGATAAAGAAACTGAGGCCCCAGAGAGGGTGCCCGAGTCAGCAGAACACTTGGCAGTGGAGGAGGGAGTCCTACAGAGACGCCTTCTCCTTGGCTTACTTATCTCATAGTCCCAGCCCCTCCCTGGGTTTGGAGGAAGGGAGGCAGCAGGACTCTGAAGGACGTGCTGTAAACACAGAATGTAAATTTGCGATTGTCTATGAATATTCGGTGACTCTTCTGAGTTATTTTGGCACTTCAGTCAGTCTGGAAAATGTATTCGTGTAGCTGTTCTCTTGGCTTAGGTGAGAAACATTTGCTATTCTTTGTCTCCTTTTTTTAATGGAAACATGTTTACTTTTTATATATGCCACTTAATTTGGGCACTGTTCAACCTGAAAACGCAGGTGCCTTTAACTTCAAGCAACTATTTGAAAACAGAGAAAAAAAACCTATAGGTGATACCCCCTAATCCCGTGTCCACGGGAATTATAGAAGGAGGGAGCAGAGGAAGAGAGGGTTAGGAGAAATTGTTTCTAGTTTCTGGGTCTGCTCCAGGAGTCTCTCCCGGGAGCCACTGCCCCAAGTGCCCTCAGAGTCAGGGGCTGCCCACCCCATGACACCTTCGAGTGTGGGAGCAGGTCGCCACCCTCATTAACACACAACACAGCAGCAGCAGCGAGGCAAAGGGGAGGCCAGTGCAGGGAGAACCCAGACACTGGGTGACGTGGCCCGGAAGGGGCAGCTTCCTCTGGAAGCCCCAGAGTGGCGTGCTAGGACTCCGGGCGGAAGGGGCCTCTGGGAGCCTCCGCGCCAGGCCTTCCCGGCCTCCCATCCCAAGGGGGCACCTCTACACAGAGAAGTCTACACGCACATTCCCCTTAAAGTCTAGCTGTGGCTGCCAACATTTTCTAAAATGCAGGAGTTCCTTTTATACATGAAAATGTGTCACAGACTACCCTCCGCCCCCATAGTAGCTATCCTGGTAAAATCCACTGGTGGACAATAAGGGCCCGGAGCTGCTAGAAATTCAGCAGGACTTTCTGGTTCCCCCTGTTTTTCTAAGAGTATCTGCATACATTACGGGGAAAGTAGCACAAACACGTGGGTGACGTATTGTTGATTCAGCCCACAGGTGATTGGGTTTGTGGACCCCTGAGCATCAGGCCTACATCTGGTCATCCCTGGAGGGTGACAACGAGAGGGCCCCACCCTCTCTCCAACCTGGGCTGAGCACTGCCCTTTTTCCCAGGGTGACCGATTAGGAGAAGAGCTTCTCCCCACAGGTGAGGCCCAGTCCCCTCCTCCCACCCACCCCAGTTCATGACCATTAGCCTGACTTTGCCGCAGTGACAGCCCCAGTGCCTTAAGCAGGGGCCTGCAGCCAGCTCGGACACGACCTAAACACCGGACAGATCTGCCCAGGCTACTTTCTACCACCAAGGTAGCCCATCGCTTTAAGGGTATGTGCGGAAGGATTCTCCGTGAATGTTCTCTGCGCTTCACCATTAGCTGCTATAAACATCTCAGCTCTGCAGATTGGGGCTTCCCCTGGGCCTTCCACCATCCCGTTCTTTATCACCTCGGCTTTCATTTGGAGCTTAGCTCAAGGGCCTGCTCCCTGAGATCACCCTTGATCACCCTGGACTAGAAAAGGCTCCCAGCCAAGCCCCAGTTCCTCTTTACTCTCTTGTTCTACTTTTGTTTTCTTCACAGAACTTCTCAGTATCTGACGTTATTTATGTTCTTTTTGCCTGTCTATCCCCACCATTGTGGACGCTCCCTGGAAGCAGGCCCATTCCCAATGGCAGAAGAAAGTGTGGCCCCTAGCAGGCTATAATTATAAATAATATAAGTATATAAATATAATGACATGCCCAAGATTATATAACAAGTCAGCGGCAGAGCTGGAATTTGGCCCTAGGTCCCCCAGAAGCCCAGCCCTCACCACATTCTTTCCAATGGAGCAGGAAAGTGGTACAATCAAGATTTGAACACACGAGGGTGCCTGGGTGGCTCAGTGGGTTAAACCGCTGGTCATGAGCTCAATGTCCTGGGATCAAGTCCCGCATCGGGCTCTCTGCTCAGCGGGAAGCCTATTTCCCTCTCTCTGCCTGCTTGTGATCTCTCTCTCTGTAAAATAAATAAATAAGATAAATAAAATCTTTAAAAAAAAAAAAAAAGATTTGAACACACGACTGCAAAGTCAACCTGCTTACCACCAGGATTTACCTCCGCCCCCGCCCCGCACCCCACAAAAGAGCTTCATGCTGATTGGCCTGTCCACTGGAATGTAAGCGCTAGAGCTGCATCGTCCCGTGTGGTAGCCGTTTGTGGCTATGGAAATATAAATTAATTAACATGAAATAGAATGTAAAATTCAGTTCTATCTTCGGTCCGGCAGGGAAGGATGAAGCCAGCAGTGTGGAGGTGACGTGGCCGGATGGCAAGATGGCAAGCCGGAATGTGGCCAGTGAGGAGATGAACTCCGTGCTGGAGATCCCCTACCCCCGGGATGAGGACAGACCTCAGGACCCAGCCCCACTGGAGGTGAGCAAAGGTGTCTGGGCCTCAGAGCCAGAAAAGCCGCACCCCACTTCCACCCCGCCCCGCCCCGCTCTATGGGTAGCAGCTGGACTCCCCTAAATTAGCAGACTTTGCACCTAGGATGGTGGAAATCTTCTCAGCAAAGGGCAGGCTCTATGGTGATCCCTCTGTATGCAGTTTGGGCAAGGACTGGTCATTGAAGAGGGACAGGTTCTGTTAGGCGTCCCAGCTCAGACACATGCACCCCACAGGAGTGAAATGAGCAGGAGTCCGAACAGAATGTGCTCTCGGCCATCCCCCAGCCTCCTATTTTCAGTGCAAGGGAAGGGGTCCTGGCAGGGAGGGGCTGCCCCCAGGCCCAGAGCTACGAGCACCCCTCGTTCTAGGGTCCAGGTGACGGCCGCTCTGCGGCTGTGACGAGGAGGGAAACTGAGGTGGGCTCTTCTTCACTCACTTGTGTCTCTGCTTCTGCCCACGCTGCAGTGCGGCCAAGGATTCTCCCAGCAGGAAAACGGCCATTGCCTGGGTGAGTTGCCTGCGGGCACCAGGGTGCGGGGCAGAGGCCAGAATCTCCTCGGGGAATGCCAGCCTGAGCCCTGGCCAAGCTCAGACTGCAGACCAGAGGAGACAGGTGGGGCGGGAAAGGCATTGTTCGCCCCAGGGGCTCCAGAAGCCAAGATGACTCCCCAGAGGGCAGTGATGTTCTCTGCCGGCAGGCAGAATCACTGCAGTTCTGGGAACTGTGAGTGCTTCCTGCCCTGAGCTTGGAAAAAAGTTGGGCCCAGGGAGGGGACCCATAAGCACCTACTGTGCATGTGCTCCCAAGTCCCAGGCCAGCGGGTTTGTTACTGAGACCTAAGAATCAACAAGACAGACACAGTCCCTGCTCCCCCTGGAGCTTAAAGCCTGTGGGAGAGGCACAGGGGTGAACAGGGATGACCCCGCAGTGTGAGTGGGGCAGGGTGGGGGAGGGGAGGGTGTGGGCGCCCAGAGGCGGGGCCCTGCACCAGCTAGAGAGGGTCGGAGAAGGTGCCCCAGAGGAAACAAGGTCTAAGCTGAGAATTGGCTGCTAGGGTGGGGGGCAGTTGCCAGGCAGGGAGAGGGGAGAAAGTGTTCAGGTGGAAAGCACCAGTGGGCAAAGGACCACAGGTGAGAAAGTGGAGGAGGACAGCTCTAAGGGTGGCCTGGGAGGAAATATGTCCCCTCCACTCTCCGTGTCCCCATCCCAACGGCTCTAAACAGATGGTACATGGACACAGAAATTCCAGCATCTGGCATGAGCACCGGCAGGACCCTGTGAGGTCACCCTTCGGGCTGCCTCTTCCTTCTTGTCACCCAGCAGATGTTTATGTGCCCATGCACGGTGCTGGGGATGCAGGCCTTAAGCTCCTGCCCTGCAGAGACATTTATTCTAGTGAGGGGAACCACAAACCTGTGACTGGGCAGCCGGAGGAGATGGGCTAAGAACCCTTTAAAAGGTGTCTCTGGGTACTGTTCTAGACAGAGTGGTCAGGGAGAAGACCTTTGAGTTGAGACCCGAAGGAGGAAAAGGTCCAGCCCCAGAAAGAGCTGAGCTTGAGCCCGAGCAAAGCGCCCGAGGCAGGAATGAGGCCTGGTGCATGAAAGGAATGGGAAGGAGCCAAGTGCTAAGTCAGGGAGGGTGGCGAGGTGTCCAGATTTTGTTCCTAGGGCCCTTTGCAGTTAAGCAGGAGAGTGGCATGGGGTCATTCACATTTTCAGAAGATGGACTGCAGATTGGATTGGAGGGAAATGCGGCAGCCAGGGCACCTGTCCGGAGGTGGCTGCGGACCTCCGGGCAGCGGGCGGTACGGGCTGGGGGTAGACTGCAGCAGAGGAGGAGCTGGACTGACAGACAGGTACTAAGGGGGCAGAATGGCGGGATTGGTTATGAAATTGCCTACAGAGGTAAGGGAAGAGGAGGAACTAGGAATCACTCCTATCCGCGCTCAAGCAGCAGAGTGGGTGACAGGGGTGTGACTGCCTTAGGCGAGATGGGGTCGTGGGCAGGAGAAGTTTGAAGGCTGCAGGACCTAGAGTTCCATTTTGGACTTACTGAGTATGGGAAGAACAGAAGATTCACGAGTCTGGAGCCCCAGAGATGGGTTAGGGGCTGGAGACAGGAATCTGGAATCATCCATGTATGAAGGCACCACCCACAGAAAGTGTGGTGGATAGAAGATCTGGGATGAAGCCTGACACCCCCAACATGTAGAGGTCAGGTAGAGAACAAGTCAGCCAAAAGGACTAAAGTGAGGACATTGAGGCCTAGAAAGAAGGACATGCCCAAGGTCACAGGGTAGGTGGAGCGACAGAGGCTGAGCAAGGTCCCACTGCCCCACACCTCCCCAGTGAGCCACTCCCCTCACTTCCTAGACACCAATGAATGCATCCAGTTCCCATTCGTGTGCCCTCGAGACAAGCCCGTGTGTGTGAACACGTACGGAAGTTACAGGTGCCGGACCAACAAGAGGTGCAGTCGGGGCTACGAGCCCAACGAGGACGGCACAGCCTGTGTGGGTGAGTGAGGCCCTGCCACAGCCCAGTGTGACACAAGCAAGTGGCCTTCCTCTGGGGAGGCGCCGGATCAAGGTCCCCAGCCCTGACTTCTCCTGGCTGGCTGGAGTCTCCTTAGACCCCGACTGGGTCTCCAGGGAAGACCACAGCAGAGGTTTGGAGAAGGCCCACCGCCACCACTCCCACCATCTGAAGGGTCCCTGGGGTGCTGCGCCCTGCCCAGAAGTAGTTGCTCTTTTTCCTCCCCTTCTCATGTTCCCTGAAACAAATGTTTGTACCATAAGGCCAGCCCATCTTCTCCTATCAGGGATAGAAACAAGCTCTTGCTACTCATCTTTGTCTGAATTTCTGAACTGGTGTTTGTCTTCTTCCTCCCAAATGCTTTCCCCCACCCTCATCCCACCCCAACCCCCTTTCTCTTTTTCCCATTTTCTTTCTCTCTCCCATCCTTTTTGCAGCTCAAGTGGCCTTTTTAGGTGGGTATCCTTCTGCTGCCTTTAGAATCTCTGAGCCTCTCTCTCCGGCCTCGTATCTCTCTCTAGGCCTTGGACTTTGCCTTCAGTTATATGCACTTTAAATCCCATCAATAAAGGAAAAAAAAAAACAAAAACAAAAACAAAAAACAAAAAAAAAACAACCTTTGTGGAAATCTAAATCTCTCCCGCTGCCTGTCTCTCTCTCCACGCCCAGCAGATTCTGTTGCGCTCCCTCCGAACGAACCCAGGGGCGGCCATCTTTGAAAAGGGAAGCTTGGGAGCTACTGATATTTATGTAATCTTAGTTATTTGTGAAGGCTTTCTTTGCATGTTTTCTGAGGAAAACAGAAAAGGAAAGTCTCCCCTCCTACCCCATCTACCCTCCTTCACTTCTTCAAAAGAATCATGGTAGTCCTGTCTTTTCTGTATTCTCCAGTGTCACAAGGACCCTATTTTGCCCTTAACAAAGATGGCTCCCAGGCGGTTGCTTGCTGTTGATTCACTCGTGTACCGTGTGCCTGCTGGTTTGGCCTGTGCTGTTTCTGCTCTGTGCACCCTGACTCGTTGTGGTAGAGAAAGCCTTGTTGGAGTTGGTGGTCATGATGGGAGGGGAAAGGGTGACCCTTTGGGACTCTTGATAAAAATGTTAAAGTTGGAACTTGCTAAGTCTTCCAGCCACTTTCTGGAGAAATTATGCCAATAAACTCTCTGCTGGATATTTAGTGCCTAGCTGGTGCAAAAAAAAAAAAAAAAATGTGTCTGGGGCAAGTAGATGCTGGTTGGAATGTTGAATTAGCGGTAGTCCTTCCATCCCCGGGGCACTTGGAAAGCAAATCACGAGACGGGGGAAATATCTGTTCTGAGTGTGAGCAGTGGTTTGGGAATGTGCACCAGTGTTCACATTTGGGGGGCTGGAGTTTGAGCCAGGCAAGGGCTGTAGGATGAGCAAGGGGCAGATTATGGAGGGAATATTCCAGGCCTTCTACCTGGAGGAAGTCACTTTTCTACACTGGGCCTTAGTTTTCTTAATCGAAAGAGCAAGAGATTTGGTCTGGCATATCCCTAAAGCCCTTTCCTTTCTCAGACCCTTCAGTGTGTGGCTGGACAGAGACATGGCTAGTCTCAAGTTACCCTGATTTCTAGAAAGAATCTGGCAACTTAGTCTCCTCTACAATATGTTTAGAAACCAGGAAGCTTCTGTAGCCAGGGGACCCTTTGGGAACGATGTTAACACCGTAGAAAATCTTCACAAGCAGCCTCGGTACTGAAGGCTTGTTATAAATCACAGATCTATTCTTCATGGGGAAAAAAGTTGCCCCAGGATGTAATAAAATCACATTTAAGAACAGAGCAAGCATTTTAAAAACATATTTAACAAAAAACCTACCATTTTCTAATACAATAATAATACTCCCAATAAATCACAAAATATGAATTCCTCATAGGTAGTACCGTTTTTACACTCAGAACAGGAGCTTAAATGAAAAGTCTCAAAATAAAAACAGCTACATTTTCACAGGAAAGCATATAACAACTTAAAAACTGCTCCACCTCTGGGCAGCCCCATCCTATGTGCTCGTGTAGAATAAAGGCACGGATGGGCCCAGAGATGAGGCTCAGAGAGATGAAGTGATCTGCCCAAGGTCACAGAGCCAGCTGGTCCCAGGCAAGGCGAGAGCCCTTTCCTAGCACACCGTCTTGTCAGGGAGTAACAGACAGGGCTGTCAGTGCTCAACCTATTCCCTAGTCATTCTGAAAGCTACTGCCCTTCTCGAAAGGAACAAGTAGATCTAAGATAGTAAGATAAGTAAAACCCAAAACTCACAGAGGCAGTAGTTCCAAATGTAATGCTAAATGACAAGATAACAGTGTCCATTGACAGGCTCCACACAACAGCATGAGAAATAAGGGACAGGACCGCTCATGAGACAGCCTGCCAAGGACATCAGAAAATTCAGGATGGCAGCAAACTTCAGAGGATACCTTCTAAAGTAATAACAGCGAGTTTCTTGTAACAGGGTATATTTGTGTCACCATACTCTGCTTGGGAGGGGGGCCAGATGAGTTACTGAGAGGAGCTCCAAATTCCCCCAGCTGTCAAGAGCACAACTACAATACCCCAGCTCCAGAGTAAGAAGGCTTACTCTGGATGTGATTCATTCATTCAACAAGTATTAGTTGAGCTGCTACTATGTGCCAGGTACTGAGCTAGGCTCTGGGCATACAGTGGTAAGTAGAGGTGACACGTTTACTGTCCCCACACTGTCTTCCTTCAGCCAGATGGAGGAGCCCAGTGCATGGGATGACAGCAGGACTTACAGGGGCCTTCTGAAAAATCTAGCTAAATTGGGTGGCTACACCAGAAAGCAAGCTCCTTGCATCTGTTCACTCATTCAAATATTCATTCAATGAGCGTTCATCGAGAACCTCCTATGTGATAAGCACTGGGTCCCTTCCATGAGGAAGGTGACAAGGTCCAATGAAGGGCATCACGTCTCCTGCCTCCACGGTGCTTGTGTTGAGAGAAATACAAGGCTAAAAGATACAGAGTCCAGGCAAGTACTGATCCAACTCAGCATTATCTGCCCCCAAATAATAGAGCCTCCCCACTGGGCGAGGAATCCAGGCTTTCTGTGCCAAGTCCCCCCAGTCCAGTACATTTGTTGGTCTGTGCTGAATTAGCCCCAGAGCCACACCAAGCTAGCCAGGCACAGGCTCCCCATCCCGTTTTCGTCCAACTCCCCTTCCTCTGATACCCGCAGGTGCCTACACCCTTGCCTACCCCTTCTGGGCACAGATAATTCAGTCCTTTCTTTGTCCCTTAGCCCCGCTCAAGCTCCTCACATCACCCTTGCCTTCTACATGACTTGAGTTTGTAACAAAAATTGAAAATGGCTCCAGGACTGACGAGTGGCACAGACCTACAGGGGATCGTGCGAACAGAGCTGGGCCCCATCTGGGGCAGCCCCGGCTCATTCTAGTAATAATAATATTAATACCATTTTTATTCTGCCCAAGAACACTCCTCTCCCCCAGGAATGTACCCTCCACATGAGAAGAATAGCCACGTTTAGTGAGCTTGGTGTGTCTGGGCCAGATCGAAGGTCTTTAGAAGAATCAGCGTGTGTAATCCTCACAACAGTCTCAAGTGGGAAGTGCTGTGATGACCCCAGTTTTACAGAGAAGCTAAGTGGCTTGTCCAGCTTGGACAGAGGAAGGACACCATCAGAGCAGTCTGGCCCCCAGCCTGAGCTCTTAACACAGATGCTTCCTTCCTGTTCCGGGGGAGGGGGGGTGGTCACTAGCTGGTGACAAAAATCCACCATCCCTCCATGCTGCCCAGGGGCAGGGGATGGTTGGGAAGGACCTAGGATCTGTGACAGTCATCACAGAGTCCCACTCGGGCGGCAAGAAGAGGCGGTAGTGTCCAGGCCGAGTTCCCTCACCAGCCGGTGTGGCCGGCCTTTGCAAAGGCAGAGCCGTGAAGCACCCACACAGCTTCTTCAAGCTTCTACTCCGTTGCCAGCCCTGCTCTGGGGAGGTGCCATTCTGAGGGCCAAGAGTCTGATTATGCGTCACTCTGGCTGCTATGGCCCCCTCCCAGGGTCTGGGCATCACACCTCAACCGGCACCACTAGACTGTGACCCAACAGGAGCTCCACTGCAGCCTCCCAAAAAGGGCCATTGGTCATTTCTCCAGAGGCCCCACAGAGGCAAGAAGACAAACACTTCATTTTCTTAGGGAGCCAGCTGTGTTTTTCCAGCAGATTCCAGCGTGACATCCCACCCAGACTGCCAGCCCCGGAGGCTAGCCAAGTCCCTCCCCTTCTCTCTCTCCCTGGGGTCAGCCCTATCTCTAGTCTCTCGCCTGCAGTGTGGGCCAGAACCCCAGCCATATCCTGTCAGGCCTGAGGTGGTGTCTCCTTAGCAACAGACACATCCCCGAAGAGGAAGGAGGCGGGGACAGCGCACGGGCTGGTTGACGCCACAGATCACACCAACCCCTCCTTTAGCAGCCGTCCTCCTAGGGAACGGGGCTTGAACGGCAAAGGGGTGGAAGGGTAGACCATGAGAGAAAAATGAGAAACAAGAAGAGGAAAAAAGCCCTCCCTGGGGGAAGGAGCTAACATGTACAGAACGCCTATCATGTGGCCAGAAGTTTACATGAACGGCCCCAGGACTCCCCACACCCGTGCTATGGGATAAATGTTACTCGTCTGTTTTCTTACCAAAGCAGCAAGGCTCAGAAAGAACAAGTTCCCCAAGGTCCCAGAGCTGGTTGAGTGGCAAACGCGGTGATTCAGACCGGCCACTGAAGCCTTCTGGCGAGCAACCCCCAGGTAACACACACCTGGGCAAATTATTCAATCGTCACTTGGCATTCCCTGGTGGGACTCATACTGTGAGCTGGGCATTGCTTTCGTGTCTTAGCCCATACGTCTGTGTACAACACTGCCAAAGATTCCAGAATGGCCTGGTGACATATGGCAGGTGCTAAACTACTAAGAAGTAAAGGATATAGTGTGTCAGAGGGGACAGCCGTGCTGGAGTGGGGGCAGCAGCATGAAGGCACATGGAGAGGAGAGCGCTGGGCTGGGGGCGGGAGAGCCCTGCTCTGGGAAAGAGGCATTTGAGCAGAAATGTCAAGTAGATGTGCTGTCCTCCAGGCTCAGTTTTCTCATCTGTAAAATGGGGATAATACCTACCTCACGGAGTCATAATATTAAACAAGATTATCTAAAACACTTGACATGGTGCCTCACACATAGTAAAGCCCCAAATAAATTTCCAATGTTGATAATATTCATAAGTAGGGGCGCCTGGGTGGCTCAGTGGTTGAAGCCTCTGGCTTCAGCTCGGGTCATGATCTCAGGGTCCTGGGATCGAGTCCCACATCGGGCTCCCTGCTTGTCGAGGAGCCTGCTACCCCACCCCCACTCTGCCTGCTTCTCTGCCTACTTGTGATCTTTGTCTGTCAAATAAATAAAATCTTTAAAAAATAATAATAATATTCATAAGTAACAAAGGTCAGGATGGAGCCTGGGTCTATCCAGTGCCAAAGCTCCCACGGCTCCCAGAGCACCCTGCTGTGGCCCAGGTCTCCCGGGAGTCTGCTGTGTGGGAGATGTGGAGGACCTTGGCCGCCCTCAGGCAGCTGACAGCTTTGCGGGGAAGAGACCTCAAGACCAAATATAGCCTTAAGGGAGCAGAGCAGACCTTCTTGGGGTCTGGGCTGTGGTGCTATTCCGCTTAGTTCTCACGCAGCACCATTCCCAGAGAGAATCACCATAAAATTAGGCAAACTGAGCAAGGAGACCGTGCCACTGACCAGGCTGCACAGAGCACAGGTCCACCAGCAGCTAGTGACCCGGCCTGGGGTTTGGATCTGAGAAGTCATTTAGTCCTCCCTCATCCTGTTCAGCTGTGAAAACTGGAGCCCAAAAAGAACAGTGACTTCCAGAGGATCACAGCCTAGAGGGGAATCAGACACCCACCTGGGGCTCCTCCTTGCTCCCCCTGCCTCCTTCTCCAGAAAACTCAAAGTATTTCATACGCGCAGTTGAGTGGCAAAAGTGGTGATTCAGACCTGCCACTGTCTGGCAACAGTTTCCGAAATAGGAGGGGGATGAGAGGGGGTGCAGAGCTCATTCTTTCCACGGTGCTGACCCAGAATCAAAGTCAGCTTAAGTGCCCACCGAGCAAACCAAAGAACCATGC